CATCTTTCCCAAACCTAAGCTGAAACGTGCCAGATATATCCCATTTTTGATAACATAACACTTCGATTAGCGTATTTCTTTTATTGATGACAACGCTATTTGCCAGATTTCACTAACTAACTTGCTCAGTGAGCGTTTCAAAGTCACATTGGTGCGTTCGCACTCCAATGGTAGTTAGTTAGTGGTGCTTGAAGTTTAACTAGGCCATGAAAACATAAATATTCTAAGCAAATCTGTAGAAAATCACTAAACTCTTAGACGCTCAACTAATCGCTTTTCATTCACATTCCACTTGAAGCTTTGGCGTGTGATGTCACTAACTGATATCGTCAAAATATGTTTAATCCATTTTGATAACATCGGTGAATGTTAGGATCTGATACTACTATTACGCACAAAGCTGAAAATGAACTTATGAATAGGAAATATCGCTTAGAAAAGCAAAAGGAGATATGGATTCTTGATATGTTCGACATTAGAAACAAGAAGGTTGTGTAAACAACAAGAACATCCGTAGCTGTTCTACGACCTGGAACCTTGTGGTATGTAAGCAAAGAGGCTACAGTTTACACTAAAGAAAAGCAGCGGTTCCGAACCCAATTTTAACACTGAACTGCAAATGGAAAACGCCAATTTCCTAATTTTTTGGTAATGTTGAATTTTCATGTTTGAGACACTGAGACGAACATCTTTGCCTATACATTAACCTTTGCACATAAACACTATAACACTAAGTGGTAATTGAGAGTGTGAAGTCTCCTATGTACACGCAACACGTGAGTTAATCCACTCCGGCAATATGATCACAGGGATATTATGTCTTAAAATGTGCATGAATTCCGTATTTTGAACAAACTATTACTGAAAGCAGCGCTTGATTTTAGATGAACCTGTCTGTCTGTCTGTCTGTTTTCGACATAGAACTTTGCACATATGTGCACCAGTTCAAGTCGCCACACTCCATGTACCACACAAAGCAAGAGAAGAAAGTAGAAGAAATGAACAATAGAGACAGTAAACAGAAGTGTGAGACAAAAGGAATAGTAATAAGGAAGAACAATATAGTTTCATTGGAAATCATAAGTCGCAAGGAGTGGATGCATCTGCACCATTGAGAATGATTTTGAGCCATATCACCAATTGTCTCCAGACATTGGTTCTCACCATCCCGATGGCACCAACAAGCCAGTCAGGAAGTCTACACCTTCCTATGTGGCTGGCTTAGACTAACTGTTGTAGATTTCATTGACTGGTGAAGCCATGTTTTGGTTTGACCTCCGCTAGCTCTTTTCAAGCCTGATCCTATATCAGCTAACATTGCCCGTTGTCGAGGAAGGCGATGACTAGGCATACGTAACACATGTCCTAACCATCTCAGTCGATGTAACTTCACAACCTCGTCGATTGATTTCCCCTACTCACCTATAACTCGACGCCTAACCTCAATATTGTTGGTCACGATAATTTTTTTTATTCTGCTAAGTACACTTCTTTGAGTAATGCTACTTCTGACGTGGGGAAATATTCCGGTCTGCTAACGTATTGCGTCCTGATTCAAGGTGGCATAGTGGTTAGGACTCTCGCCGACCATGCACATGGTCCGGGGTTCGAGCCCACGCCGGCGCACACCTGATATCTATGGTTGGCCTGCAAAATTTGGGCTACCGATATCCATGCTGAAAATTCCATACTTGTACAGAAAATACAGTGTGGAATCAAGCTGTAAATCAAAAATCAAAAAAAGGTGATTTTTACCTTGACCTTCGGCTTGTGTTGAGAAAAACCGAAGGTCATGAGATGACCTTGAATAACCAAAGGTGTGAATGTGTTAAAGGAGGTAAATCAAATCTAACGATTACTCGTCTTTTGGGGATATTAAAGGTGATACTTAACCTTATTGAAGTTACCGAAGCTCCATTGAAGAGTTGAAGAAGTCAAAAAATAGAAATCAGGAGGAACAGTCGCAGTAATGACCTCAGAACGACTAACGACGTCAAAATGTCTAGAGAGCCGTAACCATAATCTCCCGCTTGCCTGACTTTATTTAACCATAATCTGTCCAAAACTTAACCGTAATCACCAGCATCACGGTTTTCCGCTCATTTTGTCGAATTTTGTTTCACATGGACTATAGTTTACTTTGATATTTAGGTAAATAGCATTAGCCAATAATCTTAAAACACTGTTTGGCTCTCTTAAATCATTTTGGCAAAATTAACACTGCGTACTTCTAATGTGCTTCTAATTTGGTCCGTGAATTACCGTAGTAAAAGCTTTCACCAGCAATGTTAGTACGATGCAGCTCCCCAGTCACTCTACACTCTAATCATAAGCAAATTTCGACTTTAACTCGCTTGGTACTTAAAAGACGTACGTAGCCCTAGAGTAACAAAGTGAGAGAGCTATTTATTCCCTCGTTGGTCATATGTCATCTAGTTGTTAGGTTGGGTTTTTTATCAAAATGCCTACTTCCGTCTGGAGCGTCTTTGCACTGATTGGCGAGATTTTCACCAGATTATTTGACCTTTTGTCACAAGTTAACTTTACCACTTCTCATTGAAACACCATTGCTTCACTAGTGAAATGTAGATTGCACATGATTTCTTTGCGACTCCATAACCGGCTCGCTGTGAACATGCCTATGCCTTAGGGGACCAATTCTAGTTTCACCAGATGACCGCTACACTTGGGCGGTGTAATAATCTCATTTTCCCTCAGCATGATTCTTAGGACGTCTTCTACAAACATTGTCCGTCACCTTCTTCATACGATACTTTTACAGTCTACGAGAAGTTTATGAAGTTCACTACGACCAGAAAATGTCAGCTCACTATTTAATCCAGCCAACTTCAATTAATCTACAGCTAGCCACCAAAAGTTCAGTTCCAGCAGACGGACGACTAGCATATTAGATTACGCGTATCGAGACGTTACTGAAACCATTACGTATACAAAATATTGATTGTTAATTTACTGTACCTACTTGGTTATAATCGTTAAATACCAGATATGTAAAAGTTATGGCTTAGTTATCGTATTCCTTAAATGAACTTACTATAAATGACAGGAACATGAACTGTTTTTTTTTTTTCATTTTTCGAACTTTGTTTTGTACATTCCCTTTTGTTATAATACATTTCTATTTCCTAGCTATGTCTTGTCTTCTGTTACTCCTAGAGTTTTGATTGGATAAAAGTCAGTAACTATTGTAATGTGTCTAGTCCTTTGCTTCCAGCAGACTGAATTCTATCAGTCAAGCTTGCAATGTGGCCACCGTGCCAGGTGGTGGCTCGCCATCACGGTGTACTGTGAATTGTCGGTATTAGACTGTTAGAGGTAATCGGCCACAGGAAGCCTTGGCTCTACCTGAGTTTCGTGCTAGTTAGCACTCACCGGTCAGCAAGGCGTATCTGCAACCACTTTTAAGGGAATTATGTCCCTTCTGCGATTCAAACCAGCATCATCTAGTGCTGCGGTCAGAGACGTTACTCCAGAGCTCTTCAGCCTCGCGATCGATCTCCTGTAGGACTCTGTTCGGTATTTTTGATTGGACACTAGTCAGTACCTAGTGTAATGTGTTCACTGGTTTAGAGTTTACTTGTGCTGATTGGCTTATTAGCGTGTTGTTGTTCCCCGTCTAACTATGTACAATTGGTTTGATACATTTTTGGTTTGCAATTAACTGTGTTCTCTGAGTTGATTGGTTTAGTTGCAGAGCTTTTGTCGTCCCCCTTCTGGACAACATCTTCAGCGCAATTTTTTTAGCATAAAGTGAAATGATTTAAATTTTTTCATGAGTGATAGAATTCCATCTCCCAGTAACCATCTTTACGTATGTATTGATCATTTTCTATTGACTTGGATTTTAAACTTTCTCGTCACAAATGATTTACTTTTTGTTAGTTGGTATATTCAGTCTGTATTAACGTGTTTGTTAATTGCATATTCGTTTGAGTATCAGACTTCTAGGAATTCCCTGGCACTTTTATTGTTTCCTCTGTCTCAGATTTCGACATTATCCTAATCAAACTGATGTCCATAATGATATACATGCATTAATTTATATGAAATATATATATATATATATATATATATATATATATATATATATATATTATGTCTTCACGGCTGATTTGTGTTCCTGGAATCTGATTCGAAGGGGACGCCCACTTTGGCCGATGTAATCCCTGTTACAGCTCATACATGCAATTTATTTTGTAAATGGTGTTAATTTTGTCTCCTTTTTCTGTTGGATCTTTCGGTTTGCACAATATCGAACTAAGTGATATGACTGGCTTGTGTACTATGTCTATATCGAACAGCACGAAACCTAGATCCAAGGCTTCCTGCCGATTGCCTCCAACCATCTAATACCATCAAATCAATGTGCACCGTGATGGCGAGCTACCTATACTGGTGGCCACATTACAACCTGACTGATAGAATTCAGTCTTCACCAATCAGAGGACTAGACACATCACACTAGTTACTAGTGTGAAATCAAAATATCCACTACAGTCCTACAGGATGTCAATCGCGAGCCCGAATCGCTCAGTGGTAACGTCTCTGACTGCAGCACTGGGTGACGCGGGTTCGAATCTCAGAAGGGACATGAGTTCCTTCAAGGTTGCAGGCACGCCTTGATGACCGGTGAGTGTCAACTAGCACGAAACCTAGGTCCAAGGCTTCCTGCCGATTGCCTCCAACCATCTAATACCATTATATCAAACAGTTTCAACATTGTAGCTGTTATTTCAGCGATATTTTTTTAAATGTATGGTAGGATGAATTTTCTTGTGTTATTTGATGATGGTTCCTTGTTGGTGGTGTTGTGATTCTATTTTAAACACTTTTTGATGAAATTTTGTGGATGATCATTCTTTTTGAAGATCGTTTGTAGGTATTTTTCTTCTGTTCTTTTCAATTCTGGAGTACTACAGTGTGTTTGAATTTTTTTAAAACAATTTCTGAACAGTTTCTGGTTTATCTGTTCATGTAATATGGTAGGTTCATACGTTGACCGCTTCACTTATTTGGGAAGTACCATCAGCCAGTGCCAACGGGTTGATCTCTGACTAAATCTCAGCACGGATACAGAAGGCTAGTTTCGCATGTGCCTCCCAGTTTACGCCGTCTCTGGCGTAGACGTGTTATCCGGCTGGCGACCAAAGGACGTGTGTACTGCTCATCAGTCCGCTCCGTCCTCCTTTATGGCTGTGCGACCTGGCCATTGAGAGTGGAAGACATGAAAAGGTTATGTAGCTGTCTTTGATCGTAGGTGCCTGCGTTCTATTTCCCGTGTGAAGTGGTTTAATAGGGTGAGCAATATTGAGGTTAGGCGTCGAGTTATAGGTGAGTAGGGGAAATCAATCGACGAGGTTGTGAAGTTACATCGACTGAGATGGTTAGGACATGTGTTACGTATGCCTATTCATCGCCTTCCTCGACAACGAGCAATGTTAGCTGATATAGGATCAGGCTTGAAAAGAGCTAGCGGAGGTCAAACCAAAACATGGCTTCACCAGTCAATGAAATCTACAACAGTTAGTCTAAGCCAGCCACATAGGAAGGTGTAGACTTCCTGACTGGCTTGTTGGTGCCATCGGGATGGTGAGAACCAATGTCTGGAGACAATTGGTGATATGGCTCAAAATCATTCTCAATGGTGCAGATGCATCCACTCCTTGCGACTTATGATTTCCAATGAAACTATATTGTTCTTCCTTATTACTATTCCTTTTGTCTCACACTTCTGTTTACTGTCTCTATTGTTCATTTCTTCTACTTTCTTCTCTTGCTTTGTGTGGTACATGGAGTGTGGCGACTTGAACTGGTGCACATATGTGCAAAGTTCTATGTCGAAAACAGACAGACAGACAGACAGGTTCATCTAAAATCAAGCGCTGCTTTCAGTAATAGTTTGTTCAAAATACGGAATTCATGCACATTTTAAGACATAATATCCCTGTGATCATATTGCCGGAGTGGATTAACTCACGTGTTGCGTGTACATAGGAGACTTCACACTCTCAATTACCACTTAGTGTTATAGTGTTTATGTGCAAAGGTTAATGTATAGGCAAAGATGTTCGTCTCAGTGTCTCAAACATGAAAATTCAACATTACCAAAAAATTAGGAAATTGGCGTTTTCCATTTGCAGTTCAGTGTTAAAATTGGGTTCGGAACCGCTGCTTTTCTTTAGTGTAAACTGTAGCCTCTTTGCTTACATACCACAAGGTTCCAGGTCGTAGAACAGCTACGGATGTTCTTGTTGTTTACACAACCTTCTTGTTTCTAATGTCGAACATATCAAGAATCCATATCTCCTTTTGCTTTTCTAAGCGATATTTCCTATTCATAAGTTCATTTTCAGCTTTGTGCGTAATAGTAGTATCAGATTCTAACATTCACCGATGTTATCGAAATGGATTAAACATATTTTGACGATATCAGTTAGTGACATCACACGCCAAAGCTTCAAGTGGAATGTGAATGAAAAGCGATTAGTTGAGCGTCTAAGAGTTTAGTGATTTTCTACAGATTTGCTTAGAATATTTATGTTTTCATGGCCTAGTTAAACTTCAAGCACCACTAACTAACTACCATTGGAGTGCGAACGCACCAATGTGACTTTGAAACGCTCACTGAGCAAGTTAGTTAGTGAAATCTGGCAAATAGCGTTGTCATCAATAAAAGAAATACGCTAATCGAAGTGTTATGTTATCAAAAATGGGATATATCTGGTACGTTTCAGTTTAGCTGTGGTAAAGATGTTTCAGCCAAGGATATGTTAGGGTTAGGTTAACTGAACAAAAGCGACAGTAGGTTTGATTCGAGTTAGATTACAGTTAGTTTAGGGATATTCTCACGTTGAAATTAGGTTCAGGAAAGATTAGGGTTTCTGTTAGGCTGAATAATTACATGCATAGAATGTGGTTAAATTACTTTTTTGATATAACAATAGAACTTGTGCACTGTGGTAGGGTATAATTCCATTGCGAGTGAAATTTATTTTAATGAAGTTTCACAGTGTTATACAGTAATTTTTATTTGAAATGGAAGTTAGGTGTGAATATGGATTACGGAAGCCTTAGAAACACAAAAATTGCACAGGATTAAGATATAATTGTAAAATAGTTCAGTTATTTTAAACGAATTATAAATGGGAACAGGAAAATCTTGGAAAAAACTTAAAATAACTGTTTTTATAACTGAAAAAATGGGTTGAAGCGAACGAAGACAGAGGGAGTAAGAATCACACACACACACACACTGCGAATGAAAAAAGATCGGCAAAAAATCGGGAGCTAAGGGATCATACCGAACTAGGTCCATGGTAGTTGTAGAGGTTGGACTAATTTCTTCTGAACATACACAGCTCTGGCTTTTCGCTGCACATTGCGAGGGCTTCTACAGTACAGAGAAGTCGGAAACATACTTCTTTTGGTAGGTTTCTGTTGACTTTGTAAACTACTTTGAAAGAATCAGTTGAGATGTTGTAGGAGATGTTGATCAGATGTTCAATAATGGCTCTTCTGATTGAACCGGTATCTCCTCTCTGCAGCCACGCTGTGAAGTGTTCTCTAACACGTTTCGAAAGGACGCGCATACAACGACATATGTACCTAGCTCCGCACGAGTAGGTGAACTGGTATATGCACACTGAATTGGTCATATGCTAGAGTTTGTCCTTTGCGTTGTTTCGAAGCATTGGACGGCTACAGAATGTCACTCTTAGTGTTGCTGAAGGGAAGGTCTTCTTCAAAGAGTTGAATATTCTCCTCTTTAGGATATCGGCTGCCGAATCCACCCTGAAATTCAGATTCAGATACAGCGTTTTCTTTGACACTGAGTCGCATTCTTCTTTTTGGTTTAGGTTTCATGTTATTTTGGACAAAACATGTCGGGTAACCATTTTGAGCCAGGATATCTTGGAGGGATAGGAGCTCATCTTCCACTCAATCGCTGCTGCAGATTTTTCCTAATGCGATGGGTTAGTGCGATGATGCAAGCTCGTTTTCGGCTCAACGGTATCCAACTATAGAAATGCGTTAGTTGGCCATTGCATGTCGGTTTTCTGGGGATAGACCTCTTCAGGGTTCCATCATCCCTTTTTTAAGTTTGTTTTCATGCTTTTCCTGTTCACATTTATAATTCGTTTAAAATAAACTGAACTATTTTACAATTATATCTTAATCCTGTACAATTTTTGTCTTTTTTTAAGGCTCTTGTAATCTATATTCGTGCACCTCCTAACTTCCATTTCAAGTTAAAATTATACAGTAACATTTACAGGTGAAGTTTCGAGCGCAATTTACTGCCATGTAAATATTACTGTATAACACTTTGAGACTTTATTAAAATAAATTTCACCCACAATAGAATTATACTGTGTTTGATACTCTAAACTAAAACTGAGAGCTATTTTTATCATATGTGAGACGAAGGTGTCCTCTGTAACACTTTTATACAGCTTTTATGCATTTTTTTCTCTCATAAATATGTATATATTCCATACACAAAAATGCCTCCTTCATGTGATTGGTGCGTTGAAGGTCATTCACTGTGATTGGTGGTAGTTAGTGATTGGTGCCTAAAGTTTAACTTTGCCCTTATTCATTGATATATATATATATATATATATATTCTTCTATGAAGATATCTGTCCGCTTTTGTTTTCAACCAGGCAAAACAGATCTGTCCTTTCTACTTGAGGAATCGTTGTGTCTATGGTGACAGATGCATAAATCTTCATTGTCAACCGGATAACAGGTTGCCGGTTCAAAGTCAAAAGTAAGTAGATTTGTCTGTTTTTTTAGAAAAAGCTTCTTGAGTTTAATAATAATAATCAGAGGGAATGTCAGTCGATGGAGTTGTGAGGCTGCATCGATTGAGATTTTTGGGTCACGTGTTACGTTTACTGAACACAAACAATCGTTTTCCACATTGAGCAATGTTAGCTGGCGTATTAGAGGTGGCAGTCAAACCAAAACGCGGCATAATGATAATAATAATGATTTACTTTATTCCAAAAACAGTACTTGTGATACAGAATGGAATTTTCAGCATTAGTCACAATATTGCATCTAATTTCCTCAAATTATAAATAAAAAGTAATCACACAAAAAATCCTTCCACATTTACAATAGGGGTAATTTCAGAAACATGCAGCATATAAAACGGAAATAATAATAATGATAATGATAACAGCTAAGGTAATAATAATAATACAAGTGAAAATTTGCCGTGGGCTTTTTACACACAGTATTGTCAATGCGGTATAGAAATCCTAGCATGTTTAAAAATATTGAATATAATGTTCTCTTTACATGATGGTGATGGTGAGGGGAAAAACAAAGATTACAGAAGTCATAGAGATAAGTTGGTGTTTGCAATTATGCGGGAGAGTAAAACAAAGAAGTAACAGGATCATAAATATAATAGAAATAATAAAAGTAAAACTTGAAGGTATATAAGGATGGATTGAGGAAATTATTTATTTACTAGATGAAAAAAGGTTAGTTAATTCTTGCCTGACACTATTGTCATCACATAAAATACATGCCAAGTATGGTATCATAGACTTCTTATACTTAGACGTGCGAGCATACAGTTTTCTGAAGTTACTTCTTGTTTTACCTGAGGAGATGCAAGGTGAAAGCTGAGGGTAGAGTGGATGCTCCAAGTCAGACAAAATCCCTTTAGCGAATTTATTGTACGAAGTTAAGTGCCCATCGACAACGACGTTAACTATGTGGTCCACTGGGACACCACTCACCCTACTGACAGTCTTCAGTATTCTACGAATTGTGACATAGTCCTTTTTAAGCAAACCAGGAAAGAATAAGCAAGGGTGAACAATAAAGAAGAATAGGTAGGATGCAAGAGTTTATGAACTGTAAGAGGAGGGGTTGAGTTATACCCGAGTGTCTTAACTTCTTAATGTCAAATGTCAGGCGGAATATTTTACTGGAGATTGCTAAGACATGGAAAGACCAGGAGAGATAATAAGTCCAAGATACTTAATTTCTGATTTGATTCCTATTTTTTTATTTTTTTTTTATTTTTGGTTACAGCTTGACTCCACACCGTATTTTTGGTACAAGTGTGGAATTTTCAGCGTGGATATCGGTAGCCCAAAATTCGCAGGCCGACCATAGATATCAGGTGTGCGTCGGCGTGGGCTCGAACTCCGGACCATGTGCATGGTCGACGAGAGTCCTAACCACTGTGCCACCGACGCACATTGTCGTCAATTTTACAACTGTCATGAGAATCGATGACTTCTTTTAACTGTCTTTTACATCTTAAGCTGAAATCAACAGTTTGGCATTTAGAAGGATTCAGTTTAAGACCGTTAGACTCACACCATTTACTGACTCCCGACAGAAAGCTATTTATTTTGGTACAATCTAGCTGGGAGTTAACAGCCATTGAATTTTTGACCTTTAATTTGATTCAGCCATGTAGGGAGGTGTAGACTTCCTGGATAGCGTCACTTGCTTCACTTACATAGATGGCATCGTTTGAACTACAGGTGGAATCGATGAAAGTGTCAAAGCCACGATCGGGAAGGCAAGGTACAATTCCAACCAAGAACCGGTTGCTCAAAAAAATGTGTTGAAGAAAATGTAGATGGATCGGAGTCACACTGAGGAGACCGTCGAATGCTATCACACGCCAGGCTGTCGTTCTAGTGGAACTGGAATGGGAAACAAGGAGTTGGGCTTTATTGTGGCGTAGAAGGCATGGTGCAAAGAGGAGATGAGAGACGTTGGACAGTCGTGAGCCCAGCTAAGGAGGACTGCAGAGAATAGAGCGAAGCGGAGATGCGCTGTTTTCAGCCCCAGATTCCACTTGGAACCCAAGAAAACAATAACTCTATTAATAATTTATTTATTTTTATTTTTGATTACAGCTTGATTCCGCACTGTATTTTTGGTACAAGTATGGAATTTTCAGCATGGATATCGGTAGCCCAAATTTCGCGGGCCGACCATAGATATCAGGTGTGCGTCGGCGTGGGATCGAACCCCGGACCATTTGCATGGTCGGTGAGAGTCCTAACCACTGTGCCACCGATGCACATATTTGTGCTATGATAACGACAGGTGTCGTTTGCCAATGACTAGCATGCATTCAAGGTCACTGGAGCGTTCGCACCCTTGGGACGCTATTGTTTAACTTCACCATCTATTCATATGATTGACTAATTCGATGTTATTAACAACATTAATGTTGTAGATCAGCGAAGAGTCTCTTTTTGGCGAATTCATTTTCTTAGCTGTACAATCGCAAATATATATGCATTGTTTTGTATGTATGTGTACATTAAATTTGTCAAACAAAGTTACAATTGGTTAAGGTTATTTTTAACTAAACAAGTGAAGGTTGGTAATACAGGTCAAGAAAATTAAGTGCTAATGAAACTAGGGTAGTAAAAGAAAAAAAAGTGATGAGTTGTCACAAACAGTTGTAATAATAATAGTGAGTTTTACTCAGGATGCTCATAGAAACAAAGTAGATAATACGAAACTATGTAAGAGATCTAAGTGGATACAAGAATTATAATTGCTTAAGGTTATTTTAACTAAACAGGTAAAGGTTGGTAATATAAGTCAAGACCATTAAGTGCTAGGGTAGTAACAAAGGTGATGAGTTGTCACAAACAGTTGTTAAAAGAAGTTATGCAATAATAATATGAATAGTTTGGTGAGTGAGTTTTACTCAGGATGCACATAGAAACAAAGTAGATAATACGAAACTATGTAAGAGATTTAAGTGAATACAAGAATTATAAGCAATTAAGGAACAAGCAAAGAAACAAAATTAAGTCATCAAAATAAAAATAAAAGCTCAAAACGAATCAAAACATTGTTACCATGAGAGTAGAAGTGGTTGAGTAATCTTCTTTTGTATGTACAGCTCCGGTTTTTCCATGTGAATGGCCAGAGCTTCAGCGATGCAAAGGAGACGAAACCGTATTGCCTTTGATATGTTATTCTTGACTCTGTAGATTACTTTGAAGGAGGCGTTCGTTGAAATGCAATGATCAGTGTTGACCAGGTATTCAATTATCGCACTCCTTATTGCACCAGTATTGCCTTTTCGCAACCATGCTGGATAATGTTCTTGAATTCTCTTGGACAGGATGCGCGTCGAACGACCGATGTACCTGGCTCCACAGCTGCAGGTGAACTGGTATATGCACATAGAAGTGGCCAGATGCGGGATCTTGTCCTTGAGGCTTCTGCAGATCAGTGGGCGACTGGAGAACACTATTCATAGCGTTGCTGCAAAGAACGTTCTTCTCAGAGATGATGTGATCCTTCTCTTGAGAATATCGCTTGCTAAATCTCCCTTGAAATCCAAATTCATGTAGATTTTCTTTTTAGGCGCAGTTAAAGTTTCGTTTTTCCGAATTATTGGTTTCATATTTTTGTCGATAAATCTTATTGGGTATCCATTTTGGATGAATATTTCTCTCAGAATATCTAATTCTGTTTCCAGAACGTCGGGACTACAGATGCGTCGGATGCGGGTAGCAAGAATAATGTTTGTTCCGTTATCAATCTTTTGAAATTTTCGATCAAGTATTATTTTTGTTATTACTATTATATTACCGTATTACAGTTAGACACCCCCCCCCCGTCATCTTATCTTCTAATTTTTGTATCTTCATAGGTCTCCTCCACCATGTAAATTTTATCTCCGAGGCTATTGTCATAATGGTGACAGTTGTACATTCTCGCATAGTGGAAACGGTAATTATCAAATTTTAGTTTTCAGCCATTTGGTATGATTGCTTACAGAACTTCACCATATAAGCTGACATCGCTTAGAGAACCATTAGAAAACTTATAGGGAGTACTGGACAGCCAGTTGTTTTGTCAGCCTAGTTTGAGTATGCACCCACTGCTAGGGTTTCAACCCAGGACCTTCAGGTTACAAGTCACGCTATATGTCGTAAATTGGCAGAAGTCAGGATTCTTGGTCCATTGGATCGTGTCACGATGGCTTACTGGTCTATGAACTCGCCTCGTAACTGGTAGGTTTTGTGTTCGAATCCTGGCAATGAGTGCCTACTGATGAAGGGCCCCAGAATAGGACGAAACAGTCGGCCGTTCAGTATTCCCAGCAGGTTTTCCAATGGTCCTCTAACGCTGATATCAGCTCATGATGAAATCATGTAACTCTAGTTTTTTCATTTTGTTATATTCCTGTTCACCTAAAAGTGCTATTTTCATAGTTTGTTTTTTGGTGTACTTATTCTTAGTTTAAGAAGAGAACTTTGTCACTGTAATATAGAGTATAATTCACACATTGACGAAAGTTTGGGAGTTGTTTTATTATCTTATTATGATTTTTTTTATTTTTTTTCCCTTCACATTCCCAGTGGAACATGGAGCTTCAAGCTAGTGGCTTGAAGTTTCTGTTATTATTATTATTATTATTGTATCCTTTAGTTCCTAGAGGAACATAGGGCTTCAGCTGCGCACCTCCATTGACTTCGGTTTTCTGACAACTTTTTCACCCTGCTCCAGGTCTGCCCACATGCTTTCATCTCCTCTTCACATGACCTCCTCCAAGTCACCCTTGGACGACCAACTCGCCGCCTCCCTTTCGGGTTCCACTCGAGGGCTTGTCTAGTGATGTCACTTGATGGTTTCCTCAGCGTATGGCCAATCCATCTCCATTTCTTTCTGCCTATTTGTTTCACAATCGGTTCCTGATTGGTTCGCTCCCAGAGATCCCTGTTGCTGATCTTTTCTGGCCATCTGATCTTGAGTATTGAGCGGAGACAGTTGTTAATGAAGGTTTGAAGTTTGTTTGAGATGCTCTTTATGACTCGCCAAGTCTCTGATCCGTATAGTAGCACTGACTTCACATTGGAGTTGAAAATCCGGATCTTATTTTTGATGCTGATTGCTGTTGACCTCCACACAGATTTGAGAGTAATGAAAGCTTGTCTTGCTTTTCCGATTCTGGCTTTGATGTCTTCGTCAGTTCCGCCTGTAGTTGAGACGATGCTTCCCAGGTAGGTGAAGGAGGTTGTTTCTTTCAGGTTCTTCCCATTTATGCTTATTGTGGTCTGTTGTTGCTGTTGATGTTGGCAAGGAATCTTCATCATCTCTGTTTTATCTATGTTCACGTGAAGTCCTATCTTTGATGCTTCTTCTGCCAACTTGTTACTTTTCATTTGCATATCTTCCAGTTTATGGGAAATCAGACATATATCATCGGCGAAATCCAGATCCTCCAAGTCTTTTGTGTCAGTCCATTTTATGCCTGTTCCCTCGTTGGTTGCCGTTGTCTGTCGCATTATCCAATCAATTGCAATCAGGAAGATCATTGGTGATAGTAGACAGCCTTGCCTCACTCCCGTCCTCACTTCGAAGGCTTCCGTAAGTTTCCCGTTGTGGATTACTTGGCATGCAGCATTGTCGTATAACTGTTGGATGAGGTGTATAATTGTCGATGGGACCCCGTAGTAGCGAAGTAGTTTCCAAATGACCTCTCGATCGACGCTGTCGAAGGCCTTTTCAAAGTCGATGAAGTTGAGATAGAGAGGTGACTGCCATTCCAAGCTTTGTTCAATGATGATCCGTAGAGTGGCGATTTGATCAATACATGATTTGTTTCTCCTGAATCCAGCCTGTTCCGGACGAAGTTTTTCATCTAGGGCTTGTTTGATTCTCTCCAGGATGATGCGACTTAGTATCTTGCTTGGAATGGACAGAAGCATAATTCCACGCCAGTTTTTACATTGACTTAAGTCTCCTTTCTTTGGAAGTTTGAATAAGTAACTGTTCTTCCAATCCTCGGGTACTTTGCCCTCTTTCCACACCTTCTCCAGTAGTGGTGTCATCAAGTCCGCTGTTGTCTCTGGGTCTATTTTCAAAGCCTCTGCTGGGATTCCATCTGGTCCCGGTGTTTTCCCAGTTTTAAGCATCTTGATTGCATTCAGGACTTCTGATTTCGTCGGGGGGTCAGTGTTCACTGGTAGTTCTGCTTCCGTTGTTGGTATTGCTGGACGTGTTGTAGGTGGCGGACGATTTAGAAGTCTTTTGAAGTGTTCAACCCAGTGCTTTCTCTGTTCCACCTCTTTGGTGATTGACTTTCCATTGTCGTCCTTTATTGGCTTAATCTGTGTCGAACGTTTGCCCGAAAGGTTCCTAGTTGTTTGGTAGAGTGTGGCGAGGTCTCCTTTGCCTGCAGCTTGTTCTGCTTCGTTTGCCATGGTTTCATAATATTTTCTTTTGTCTTCCCTGGCACTTTTCTTCACTCTTTTGTTCAGTGTATTGTAGCTTGCATTCAGCTCCTGTTTTTGTTGCTCGTCCGTGCACTGGATAATCTTTTGCTTCACTGTCCTTCTCTCTTCTATTAGTTTCCAAGTGTCCGTAGTGAGCCACTGTTTGTCCTGTCTCTTTTTTCTGCCTAGAATTTCTATGCAGGTTTGGCTCCACACCGTTTTCAAGTTGTTCCAGTGCTTTTCAACGCCGACCTCTTCGCTAGTGTTGATTTGTGTCTCGGCTTTGTCCTTTATGCTTGCAATGAAGATGTCCTTTGTAGCCTGGTCCTTCAGCTTTTGAGTGTTGAACTTGGCTTGTGGTCTATCTGCAGCTCCTGATTCCCTGAAAGCTTTTAATTTGATTTGGATTGTCCCTTGTACGAGATAGTGGTCTGAGCCAACGTCTGCTCCTCTTCTTGCTTTTGTGTCCAGTAGGCTGCGCCTCCACTTCCTTGAGATTGAGATGAAGTCGATTTGGTTTTTGGTTTGCCCGTCTGGTGACACCCATGTAGCCTTGTGGATATCTTTGTGCTTGTATACACTGCCACCAATCACCAGTTCGTTGAAGGCGCAGAAGTCGGCGAAGAGTTCTCCGTTTTCATTCATTTCTCCTAGAGCTTCTCTACCCATGATGAGTTCCCTTCCCGTATTGTCTGGTCCCAGTTTGGCGTTCATGTCTCCCATTAGTATTTTCATGTCGCCAGCTGGAGTATTGTCCATTGTTGCCTGTAGTTGCCTGTAGAATTCTTCTTTCTTCTCGAGGTCTGCGTTGTTTGTGGGTGCATAACATTGTATGATTGACACTTTCCTTCCTTTGGAGTTGAACCTGGCGGTCATTATCCTGGACGAAATCGCCTCCCATTGTATCAGGGCTTTCGTTGCCGTTGGTGACATCATGATAGCCACGCCCTCGGTGTGCGTGTGGTTATCTTCTGGGTGACCGGAGTAGATCACTGACTCACCTGTTGACAATTTGGTGAGTCCACTCCCATTCCATCTGCTCTCACATATTCCCAGCACTTGTATTCCGTATCTTTTCATCTCGTTGGCGATCTGGGCAGCTTTTCCAGTCTCGTACATAGTTCGGACGTTCCATGTTCCTACACAGACTTTTTCTTTTGGTGCAAGGAGGTTCAGCATACTGAAGATTCTGTAGCAATTTTTGTTTACAGGGTGGGGTTGCTAGCCTCACGCCTGAGAAAAGTTTCTGTAGCAGTGTTAATTTTTACAAGATAGGGTTGCTAGCCTCATGCCCAACCTTCCCTCTTTACCAGTCATATTAATGGCTTAGAGAGGTAAAAGAGTGAATTAGTGGCCGTGGATCGAACCCTGGACCACATGAGGTGTGATGGACGAGCATTCTACTGCTGTGCCACAGACGCACAGAAAGCCGGCAACACCCGCTGTTCCCAGCCGGTCACTCACGCAAGTACTAACCGGGCCCAGCGTTGATTAACTTCGGTGATCAGACGAGAACAGGTGTTTTCAATGTGGTATGGTCGCTGACGTCGTAGTATGCAATAAACTTTCATGAATTCTCTCTCCATCAATGATTATATAAGGTCAAATGTTAAAAGTTACGTAATACTAAAGGTGAAGTGGACAGATAATCAGAGTTCATACATTAAATATCATAAAAGTACAAAGGAAATGGAAAATAAGAAAGGGTAGGTAGGAGGTTTATAATTAGAATTAGAATTTACCTCCCTAGGCCAAGGGAGAGACAATGGTAGAACGAACTTCTTTTGTATGCATTTATTAGTCTCAAAGAGTTGCTTCTAAAATGCACTATGAATGTACACTTCACATTCAACAGCCTTTACTACAGACAAATTGATGGTATTACCACGGGTTCTCGATTGGGTCCAATTTCAGCAGATTTCTTTCTTGCTAAACTTGAAAATAGTCCATTGGAATAAGTAATAAATAAAATGGATTCTTATTTTTCGCTATGTTGATGGTACGTTTTTTTTTTATTATTCTTGATGAGAAAGCTGATAAGAATGATATGTTAATAAAATTTAGCGATACAAATCCATCGTTCATGTTCACTTGTGAAGAAGAACATGATGGTAGACTACATTTTCTTGACGTCCAGTCGAGCAGAAGAGAGGATGATTCACTCCAGAGAGATGTCTATAGAAAACCTACATCTGTAGGACAATATACACATTTCCTCAGTTTTGTACCAATCCGATATAAAATCAATTTGGTCAGATGCCTGACGAACACAGCAAGATGTATCTGTACAGATGACTCCCTAGAAAATGAGCTAGGATACATCCAAAATTCGTTGGTCCAAATGGGTTATCCTAGTAGATTTGTAACGAGACACATGAAGAATACCAGGTACAATAAAGAAAAACTGACAACAGTTGAAAAGAAACAACTGTTTATGAAATTGCAATTTATTGGGGACGTGGCTAGTGAAGTCTTACATCTGAGATTATCGAGAGCGATAAAAGGGACTTATACTGCCGCCACCACCCTTTGTTTGTCATTTTCCAGCCGACAAATTATAACTGATCAAGCGAAAGACAACCTACCTAGCTGTGCCACTTTTGTGTGCATTTATAAGTTTAGTTGCTCCAGAGGAGAAAGTTAAATAGGGCGAACAACTAGAAGGCTTAACAAACGCATTACTGAGCATCTTCCTTCATAATTCGGAATGGGGCATATAAAATCCACAAGAAGTCTTACTTAGTCTCGTTTGATTGATTAATAGCGGTCACCAAGTAGACAGAAAAAGTGCCTTCAAAGTTATCTATCGCATTCCAGCGAAGATTTCGAACGAAATTCGAATCCACCGAAACTATGAGAATTTGAGAGAACAATCCTAGTCTTTGCATACAAAAGAAGTTTGTTCTATCTTTGTCTCTCCCTTAGCCTATGGGGTAAATTCTAGTTTAAGAAGGAACCTCCCACCCTTTCTTATTTTCCACTTCCTTCGTACTTTTATGATATTTATTATTTAAACTCTGATTATCTGTCCACTTCACCCACCTTCAGTATTATATTATTATTATTATTGCTCCCTTGGGTTCCTAGTGGAACATAGGGCTTCAACTGCACGTCTCCATTTTCTTCTGTCTTCTGCTATACTTTTCGCCTGCCTCCATGTTAATCCATATTCTTTCAACTCCTCTTCACACGATCTCCTCCATGTCACCCTTGGACGTCCCACACGCCGCTTCCCTTTCGGGTTCCACTCGAGGGCTTGGCGCGCGATGTCACCCAGCGGCTGGCTTCCTCAGCGAGTGTCCGTTCCATCTCCACTTTCTCCTGCATATTTGCTGGGCGATTGGCTCTTGCTTTGTTTGTTCCCATAATTCCTTGTTGGTGATTCTTTCCGGCCATCTGATCTTCAGTATTGAGCGAAGACAGTTGTTAATAAAGGTCTGCAGCCTTTTGGAAATATTCTTTGTGACCCGCCCGCCAAGTTTCTGATCCGTATAGAAGAACTGACTTTACGTTTGTATTGAAAATCCGAATTTTGTTGGTGATGCTGGCTGAGTGACGAAGATTTCCAGATTGATTTCAGGCTGATGAATGTGTTTCTCGCTCACCTTCCGATTCTCGCTCGATTTGACATCCTCCTCCGTTCCTCCTGTAGTTGAGATAATGCTCCCTAGATAAGTGAATGAAGTAACCTCTTTCAAACCCCTCCCGTTGATGGTGATTGACGTTGTATGTTGTTGGTTGGTTATTTTCATAACCTCCGTCTTGTCTATGTTTACCTGGAGTCCTGTCTTTGCTGCTTCTTCGACCAGTTTGTCGGTTTTCGCTTGTAAGTCTTCGATTGTGTGTGACATCAAACACAAGTCATCCGCGAAATCCAGGTCTTCTAGGTTCTTCACGTCTGTCAGTCCAGGATGTCCCTGTCTTCTCGTTTCCCACAGTCTGACGCATAATCTAGTCAGTTCACCACAATTAGGAATATCATTGGTGATAATAAGCCAGCACCCATGTCTGACTACTGTGTTTACTCCAAACGCCTCGCTGAGTCTTCCGTTGTGTATGACTTGATATGTGCCGTTGTCGTACAGCTGTTGAATAAGGTTGATGAATATTTGGGGTACGCCATAGTACTCAAGTAATTTCCAAATTACTTCACGACCGACGCTGTCGAAGGCTTTCTCAAAGTCTATAAAGTTGAGGTAGAGGTTTGATTGCCATTCCATGCTTTGTTCTGTGTTGATGATGATGCGTAGAGTTGCAATTTGGTCAGTACATGATTTGCCTTTCCTGAATCCAGCTTGTTCCGGTAGGCGGAGTTCTGTATCCAGTGCGTCCTCTATTCTCTCCAGGATGATGCGACTCAGGATTTTACTTGGCGTCGATAGTATTGCGTAACTTTTATTTATTTATTGAATTGTCTACATATACACACATATATTACTGTAACGACAGAAGACAAGAGCCAGGCAACACACTGCTTATTGAGAAAATCTATAGGATTTTACAGACTTTTATGTACATTATTGTTAGTGGAAAAGCAACCTCTTCTGATTGGTTGTTTTCTCGCTCAAAGTTTCTTAGAATGTTAAGCCATATATCTGCGAATCATATTTGCACACGTTAAGTCTGCTGTGATTGGTTGTTGACTTCCTCAAGGTTAGTTAAGCTTTGTTATTGTTTTTTTCTCTCATGACACCGATTCGAGACGTGAACACTGACGTAACATTAACGGCTTGCAGCCAGCTCTCATTACATTATTACCTTCGTTATTGTTATCGCCAACCTGATTATCATTATCATCATCGTTATTACTGACGCTGCAAACATTAAACACGTACTTAATTGGTAAATGGTGACTAGCAATGGAATCCAGGATTGCGCATTTTGTCCTATTTGGGACTCGTCATCCGGGTGTATCTGCATTTCTCAGTGAGTGATGATGTTCCCACCGAGGCTCGATCAAGAAGCCGACATGTCAACCTGAAACCGAGCACTTCGGTCCAATCAATCGACGGGGAAATCTCGAATTCAATTAAAATTAAACATGTACTATTAGTGTTACAATTTGATCCACAAACTCCTCGTCATTGGTTAAATTTTTTTCTGATTTATAAGTCTATGTAATAAATTAAAGTAAAGCTTGAAGAAGATCTAATTGAAAACACAGCAATATTGTTGGCTTATTGTTTATTTATTTGTCTAGTATCTTCACGTTACATCTATCAACGAAGTACTGTAAAACAATTTCCTGATACAAATTACTCTGGTAGTTGCTCACAAAATCGATCGGTAGATTCTCAAAGAAATCAAATATTCACTAACAAGGTGATCAATGAACAACATTCATTATCTCTGTCTAGGAATAGAAGTAATCCTGTCAGTAAAGGATTTTCATTTCGTCAAACTGTTGAAGCAATGAAGCAGGCTGCAGCAGAGGAGGAGAAAGAGGACGAGGAGACGAAAGAAAACGACAAGGAGAAAATACCCGCCTACATTGAATTAGGCTATGAAGCTTATGAAGTTTACAGTGATTTGGATCAACTCAATGCCGACGAGGTGGTGACATATAGTTCTGATAAAGCCTTTTTCAATAATCCCCTTCCATTATATGCTCCACCAGAAAGTTTATGTTTATTTTCATAAAATCATGAATAGAATATTAAACTCTGTACTCTTATTTTGTATTTAACAATAATATAAAAGGTCAGAATCATTTTATTTATTTGATGATGCATGTGTGTTTCTGTTCTATTCTTATTTTGGAACTTTTCAGCTGATTGTATGTGTGTGTGTGTATACCTGCATCTCCTCAATGAGTGGGCGAGTGAAGGTGTCTCCAAAGAGAGATTCAACTAGAATCCAAACAATAATCGTTTGGAATGAAGGAGAAAATGGTCAGTTTTGACATTTTCAGTTTATATACACAGTGGTTAGGACACTCGCCGACCATGCACATGGTCCGAGGTTCGATCTCCTGCCGACACACATCTGATATCTATGGTCGGCCTGCGAAATTTTGGCTACCGATATCCATGCTGAAAATTCCATACTTTTACTAATAATACAGTGTGGAATCAAGCTGTAATCAAAAGTAAAATTAAAAAAATATGGCTATAGAGGCAATCAGAAACGAACTCATTTCTGACCAAGAACTCGAACTTAGGACGAAATTGCCAATTGAGGACATAATGCTGGGAGTGAAGCTATGCCTGACTTCCACAGTATTTAAATTCCAAGGGAAAATATGCAAACAAATAATATAATGGTAAAGCTTTATTTAAGACAGATTGCGAATATACGGTACAACAATTTTCAGCGTATTCAGTTCCAAAGTACTTTTTTCTTCACACAAGATTCACATGTCAAGTAATAATCTGAAGTATATCTTCATTTTGTTGAAGGATTGTACAGCATTTACTTGGGAGCAAGTAAAATGATCGCGCAAGTTTATGTATACGTTATTTGATATAACTGGACGATTAAAACAATGATAAATCCAGATGAAATTAGGCATTTTGGATGAAAGTAATTTCGATAGCCCAACTGAGGGAGTTGCCATGAGATCATCAATATCCCCGGTTGTAGCAGATATATTCATGGATAGGTGGGAAAGCATAGCGATTAAAACGTTCACCCCCACCCAAAAAGTATAGCGGGGGGGGATATGTACATGACACATTCACTGTACTTAGAACACAGGATAAAGATGGATTTTTCGAACACATTAACTCGAAGGTAGAGGCAATTCATCAATTCACTTATGAATTAGAAATTCAGGAAGGGCAGCTTCCAATGTTAAATTGCAACGTTGAAAGGAAAGAAGATGTGAAGTTAAACCCACACATTCAAACAGATATTTGGACTTCCGATCATCCCATCCTATGTCAGTGAAAATAGGATTGGCGAAATGTGTAAGTGACAGAGCACAATAGCTTAGTAGTACCAAGGAAAATCTTAGGCAAGAAGTGACACATATAAGAGAAACCTTGAGACTTAATAATTACCCGGATAAATTACTCAGGAAATATATAAGGAAATGTAAAAGTAAAATAAATAATGATAGTAGCGATAGTGATGTGCGTCGGTGGCACAGCGGTTAGGACGCTCGCCGACCATGCACATGGTCCGGGGTTCGATCCCCGGCCACCGACGCACCCCTTTACCTCGCTAAGCCAGAAATAATGCTGGTAAAGAGGAAAGATTGGGCATGGGGTTAGCAACCCTATCCTGTAAAAATAAGCACTACTACAGAAACTTCAAGCCACTAGCTTGAAGCCCCATGTTCCCCTGGGAACGTGAAGGAAAAAGAGAAAGAGAGAGCGATAGTGATAATAATAATGACGACACCAACAATAAAGAATCTAAATCATCAGTAGTAATTCCATACAAGGAAGGAACCTCGGTAACCGTATACAGAATTTTTCACAAAGCAGGAGTACAAGTGGCATTCAACTACCTACAAACTCAATTAAAAACAAGCTTTGTCGGTTAAAAGATCAATCCCGTGGAACCTTCAAAACAAAACAATTTAGTTTATCTAATACTCCACCTGCAATGACTGTCAGGTCAAAGTAGAGAAAACAAAGAAAACTATAAAACTCAAGTTTTGAAGTCGTATGATTATAAACAATAATGGATTGTGTTCGAAACCTCGTCATCCAGTAAATAATACTGTTTCACTCTGTGTGTGATACATCTAATAAACAAACCAATATAGAGTTTTCCCTCTTTAGGCTATCAATGCTAAGTGTTTTTTGTGCAAGCGGGTGATGGGTAGGGTTGGAGGGCTACCAAAATGACTCATAGTCAATAGTCTGCTCGCTTTTCTACACCCATCCACCTTTCTGATAAAAAAATACACGTTTAAGGTTAATGTATGTGTAAAATTTGGTCACTTTTGTGACAATATCTAATTTCAAACAAATCACACGCTCCCACCCCTAAGAACAAACTCTTAAAAATTAATCTGATGCTCGCTAGTCACTGACTGACTGGCTGGCTACAGAATGAAGTTTCCTAAAGTTCTACTGCTGAGACACAGTGACCAGCGGGGTTCACCAACAAGTCGAGAGTGAGGAAATATACCCACCATGGATGATATTGGCTGGTGCCAGACGCACTAAAATCACGAATTCGTAGGAGTTAGAATTCATCGACTTACTTATTGAGGAGTCGGGTCCCAGTGCCTGTTTGTAAGCCGGAAGATCTTGGGTTCGAACCCCGGTGAATGAGTATAACTGACGAGTGTCTCCAAACTCGGGGAAAAAACAGCTTCAAACCGACATCTGGTGAGAAATTTACTTCATAAATGATATTGTGTTAATAACAATCGATAATTGGCATGAAAGTCAACCAATCACATACAGATGTTAAATCCATTCTATACAACTATGACTAACGATGGAATTGTTATGTGATTGGTCAATTATACTTGTGTAAAAAAACGACGACCAATCAGAGAGTTTATTATTCGTGTCTATCATCAATCTCTATTCACACTTAATCTACATGCTTACTGAACGTTTTATTTCACACAAGTATTAATACTGTTTTTGCCTTCTACCTATTACATGTATGCTGAGGCGATTATATTAACATACAGTTTGAAAGCATAGTGATCACGAGTTACTTTACTACCTTTAATTTAACTAGAGAAAGGTAAACTCAGACTCTGTGTAGTGTGTGTTTAAATTAAATGACCACATGTTTATTTCTGTGCTCTTGGCAATGAGCCACACGCGCGCGCGCACACACACAGCAGTTGTGTGTGTGTGTGACCACTAATGATACTACCTTGATAGATGGAATAAAGGTTTTATAACCTGGGTTCCGGAAGTTGGTAATCGATCGCTTAGCCTGATTAGTAGTAGTCACAGCTCTACATAACTGTTATGATTGACAAATCGGTGTAGGTGAATGATGAAACCCAATAAAATATGTGTTTTGAGCATAGTGAATATTATGATAACCTGGACTAGTTTTCTAGCCGGTTTGAAACCCGGGTAAAGAGGGGGAGGGTTAGGTGTGGGAGCTAATAAGCCTACCCCCACAAAACCAGTCAAACTGCTACAGAAACTCGATGCGCATGAAAAAAATTTGAGAATACAAAAAATATTAAAAAATAAACTTATTCTTCGCTGGAATCGGAGAGGCGAAATGACACAGCGGGTTTTTGAACCCTCTCCCCCCCTTCACGAAGCTGGTCAGCTAATGTGTCTTCTTTTGAATGAAAGCCACAATAGGAATGGGGACATGGAATTTTAGTACAATATACGAAGTTGGGAAGGTTGTCCAGGTAGCCAAAGAAATGAGAAGATATAGTACAGAAGTGTTGGGAATCTGCGAGAGCAGAAGAAATGGATGTGGACTATCGAAATTGTCAACTGGTGAGTCAGTAATCTACTCTCCCGTTTGGTCACCCAGACGATAACCACGACCACACTGAGGCAATAAGTAACTATCATGACATCACCAATGGCAGTCAAAGCCCCAATGCAGTGGGAACCAATTTTACCCATGATTACAACACCAAGATTCAACTCAAAAGAAAGGAAGGTCATGATTGTCCAATGCTACAAACAACGTGGAACAAGAGAAGAAGGAAAAGTTTTACAGACATCTACAAACAGTAATGGACAACATCGCAAATGGCGACATCAAAATCCTTATGGGTAATACGAATGTCAACTGAGCTAGGAGCAGACAATACAGGAAGAGAAGTCATTATGGGTTGAGAGGCTCTGGCTCGGAAAAAATCAAGGGGAACGGAAAACTCTTCGCAGAATTCTGCGGTTCCAATGATTTGGTAATCGGAGGCACCGTTTACAGGCAAAAGGATGTATACAAAGCAACATGAACTTCGCCTAACAGACACATCACAAACCACATAGATTTCACCTCAATCTCAAGGAAGTAAAGACGCAGCTAGCCGGCTAGGCAAAAAGTCGAGAAAGGCAGCAGATGTGGGCTAAGACCATCATCTACATCCAGGAACTTTCAGGGTGAAGCTGAAATCCTTCAGAACAACTAGAGACAGGCCATTGCAATTCAAACTTAACATTCAGAAACTGAAGGACAAAACTACAAGGGACGCCTTCACTACAGATCAGATCACAGCAGAGTCGGAGACAGTACGTGTTATCACCGAGGAAACCTGCGTGGAAGAACATTGGGACTCTCTGAAGGCGATATCTGTCTGTCTGGATTCAACATAGAACTTGGCACCGAAGTGCACCAGTTCGAGTTGCCACGTTCCAAATAGCACACAGAGGTAGACAAGAAGATGAGTGAAGAGAATCAATAGAGTTTGACAAGTATAAGAGTGAAACAGAATGGGTAATGGTAGAAAAAAAAATGAAAGATTACAGAGACTGAATACATCGGCGCTGGCCATTGACAACGATTTTGAGCCATGTCACCTATTGTCTCCAGCCATTGATTCCTAGAGTCCCGAGGACCCCAACCCGGGAGTCTGCATCTCCCTACCTGACTCAGTTTGACTGTCAAGGATTTCATGGATTGATGCCATGTTTTTGTTTGGCCACCACTGGCTCTTTTCCAACCTTCACCTATATCAGCTAGCAAAGCCCGTCGGGGGAGGCGGTGGTTAGGCATGCGCACCACCTGACCTAGCCATCTCAATCTATGTAACTTTATAGCCTCGTCGATTGATTTTCCCTCTTTGCCCAACACTCTACGCCTAACGTCAACATTACTTATCTTGTGAAACCACCTAAAGTGAGACAGAGATCGCAGACATCTATGATCGAAAGCAGTCAACCTTTTCATGTCTTCAACGCGTATTGGCCATGTTTCAGAGCCATAGAGAAGGACGGAGAGAACTGATGAGCAGTACACGCGTCCCTTGGTTGATAACCGGATGTCACGCCTACGCCAGAGATGGTGTAAGTCAGAGAAAGCAGCTCGAGCTTTTCGGATGCGTGCTGAGATTTCATCGCCAATCAGTCCGTTGGTGCTAATACAACTTCCCAAGTAGGTGAAGTGGTCAACATGTTCTATCACTTCACTCCCTATCACTAAGTTAGGGGTTGACGTGTTCCAGTCCTGTAGCAGCATCTTACATTTTGCAGGGGCGAATCGCATGCCAAACATACGAAGATTGCTGCTCAAGGTGTTCAGAAAACTCTGCATTTTGTCAGCATCCTCCCATAACAGGACTATGTCATCTGCATATTCTAAGTCCATTAGATTATTCCCTGGTAACAAGTCGATTCCTAAGTCATTACGTTCAGTTAAGGATACTTCCATCAGCATATCTATGATGAAGTTAAAGGCGATATTCAAGGAAACGTGTACAACTGTCCTAGGAATTAAGAATGGAGAGGCAAGACAACGAATGGCTCTTAACGAACACCTATCTAGAAGCTAATAGAAGAGAGGTGAAAGAGAAGATGACTCAATGCAAAGATGGACAACAGAAGGCGAAGCTGAGTTCAATGTGCACTGCACTGAACAAAGAAGTGAAAAATATGTTCAAGGGAACATAATTACCAATAGGTTGGTCACTTCAAAAATTCTTGAATCGACGATTACCTGGAAATCAGAGGGAGATATACCATCAACAGCACGCACAGAACTGCCTACCAGTGAACACCAGTCCTCAAAGAGGAGCGGAAGCTTTGAATGCGATCAAGCTACTGAACGTTGGCCAGGAGGACAGCACGTACTCATGAAGAAGCCCAAACTAAGAGGAAACGACCCTCCATTACTCCCAGCTGGTTTTCCAATGGTTCTCTAACCGATGTCAGCTCATGATGAAATCCTGTATCCAATCAAATTGATACCCCCGCAAATTAAGAACACTTCAAAGTTTTTTTCTCAACTGACAATATTCTGATGTCTCTCTACAATACTCTCATGAATGATATATAAAATTTATAACAATATACATGCCCCCAAACAAGTCTGTGTGGATGTCAACAGCACTTAGCATGCAAATGAAAAAATGATCCGGATTTTCAACTCCAATGTGAAGTCAGTCAGTGCTACTCACTATACGGATCAGAGACTTGGCCAGCGCGTCATAAAGAGCCCTTCAAACAAACTACAGACCTTCATTAACAGTTGTCTTTGTTCAGTACTACTCAAGATCAGATGACCGACCAGAAAAGATCAGCAATAGGGATCTCTGGCAATAAGCGAACCAACCAACCAGGAACCGATTGTGAAACAAATAGGCAGGAAGAAATGGAGATGGATTGGCTGGCCATACTCTAAGAAAACAAACCATCAAGTGACATCACACGCCAGGTCATCGCTCGAGTGGAATTCGAATAGGAAGCGGCGAGTTGGTCGTCAGTGCGAGGGTGGGGTGACTTGGAGGAGGTCATGTGAAGAAGGGATGAAAGCATGTTGGCAGACTTGGAGCCAGGTGAAAACTCTAGCAGAGAACCCTGGAAGCAATGGAGACGCGCGGTTGAAGCCCTATGTTCCTCAGGGAATTAAAGGAAATAATAATAATAATAATGATTATATATCTTCAAAGGAATATATTTAACATTCTACCTACAAGGTAAAAAGTTCATCATTTTGACTCCTTTCTTTTGGACAATTCGGAGTATCAGAAGAAAATTGTACAGAAAATAAGGAGAATGCAGAAAGGAACTATTGTTAATAATGAAAGCAAAATTTATAAAGGTCATAATAATAATAATAATAATAGTAAATAACAGTGTTATTATACAAGGTAGATAGGTATCTTATTTTATGTAGGCAATTCATCAACAGTTCCATTTGGCTTTTTCTTCTCTCCCTCTTTCTCTGTCTTTACGTATGTGTCTTTGCCATATGAAATGCAAAAAATCCAAATCCAGCTAAAATAGTCGCTGCCAATGTCCACTTCCAGGCATGATCTGTTTGAGACAACTCGAAACCACGATAATGTCTATGAAGAAATGAGAGTAAAAAAAAAAGGTGATTAAAGTGAGAGGGTGAAGGGGAGTGTAGATATCAAATGTAAACATCATCACTTACCGAAGATATCAATTAGAGAAACCATAATGAGTACTGGTGAATGACTCGGTTGTTTCGCCCTGGTTTCGGACTCTTCATCAGCAACCACCCGCCCATGACTCCAAAAGTAGGGTTCGCTAACAGATGAGTCAATTCGTCATCGAACTTAAAATCAGGTTTAATCACGAGTTGACATCAGTTAGAGGACCATTGGAAAACCACTGGGAAGAGCTGAACAACCAGCTGTTTCGTCTTATTTAGGGACTCTTTGCAGGACACATACTGGGATTCGACCACAGGATATTCTGGTGGTGACCTCCTAGGTGAGAAGTCATAACCAAGTAAGGCAAGAGATCGGTTACTCGCGCCGTTGACATTGACTGTTGGTTGCGCTGTACGTATATCGCTAATAGGCAGAAGTTGGAATTCATGGGTGTGTCATTGGATCGAATATCAGTGCCTGAATGGTCCATGAGCTCGCTTGGTAGCCGGCAGGTCCTGAGTTTGAACGTTGGCGGTGGTTGCGTATTGACAAAGAGTCCCGAACTAAGACGAAACAGCTAACTGTCTAGTACTCCCCCTACAAGTTTACCAATGCTTCTATAACTGATGTCAGCTCGTGGTCAAATCCCCGAAAACTGAGAGTTAGCATCTAGATATATAAGAGAACAGGTACACTACTTGGAATACATACAGATTCCCACTTTCAACAGATCCAGTTCAAGGTCATCGGTGTGGTCCTTCAATAAACTACGAAATAAGTTATGCCAAAATAAAGCCGCCGCGCTTTCGTCTCAATATTCTTAACGAACAGGTAGAACGGAGGTGGTCAATTGCAGCTTTGAATCTCCTCAAGTAGTAGTTAGTTGATCTAATGCGATTTTGTACTACGTGGTTGGGAGGAATATTGTTGCAAGATGTTGCCTTTGGCTGTTTGAAAGGTGTTTGATGAACCTTTCTACACAGCTGGAAATTAGAAACACTATGCGTGAAAACACCTCAAGATAGCATTTCATTTTAACCCATTCGCCAGCGGTGAATAAAGGCCATATATAATGAGTTGACTGACGCTTATTTCAGCTGAAATCTACCAATCAGACAATGAGTACGAATTGTCTACATGTAGGTATAGGCGTTACAATGGTAAGCTAGTGTAGGCAGCTTTTTCACCTTACCTGATTGGTAGATTAGATAATTTCCTCTTCTAACTCCAAAATTATGTGTATACACAATACTTTTATATACAGAATATTCTAGAATAGTCGTCATTAAAGATACTGATCTTCAGTATAGGGTCAGCGAAAGTGGCAGCTAGCTGTTGATAAAAGTCAGCAGTAGTAGCCTGTTGGAAATGCTTTGGCTGACGCGTATACCATGGCCTCTTACGCATATAGAAGAACTAACTGACTGACATAACATTTAGTGTTAGAGAGATTGAATTCTGTTGTTTATACTGGGTTCAGAAGCCTTCTAAATTGATTTCAAAGTGATGCCTTTAAAATTCTGGCTGGTTTTTGACATCTTCATCCATGCCGCCGACTTACTTACCTGCAGTTGAAATGATGTAGACAGTGGAAACACTAAATTTGCCGAGAACTACCGCCTAGCAGCCTGGTATTCGGATGAATCAATGATTCTAAAAAAAGACATATTGTGGATCAGAGAACGGAACCACATCCAAATAAACTCCCAATGGAAAGCAAAATGGAACAACGAATATTCGTTTAGATAATTTCCTCTTCTAACTCCAAAATTATGTGTATACACAATACTTTTATATACAGAATATTCTAGAATAGTCGTCATTAAAGATACTGGTGCTTTTAAATACTTTCGATTTGTTAAGTAAGATCACAGTGGAATTACAGCTCAAGAAAGACGCGGGATATCATTCGAAAGTCCGATCCCTCTCCAATGTCTTCGGAATATTTATTGAGCAGTATGTTTTCGGTCGGTTTGTTCCCAAAACCAATACCTAGAAATTCATCTGATGCTGACTAGCCACTCAGCCTATTCAGCCAAATAACCTGAGGTTCTAGTGGGAAGCCGTGATCAGTAAGATACAGCAGGTTGAAGATGAGGCAGTAACTCATCGAAGAAGACATTGCGAAATGGTCGCGCTATGTAATGCGTGAACTGGCAGAAATTAGAATCCATGAACTGGCCATTGGATCGGGTCCCAGTGGCTCAATAGTCTAAGATATCGCCTTATAACCAGAAGGTCCTGGGTTCGAACCCCCAATGGTATGTGTGCGTACTGCTGAAGAGTCCCAAACTAGGACGAAACAGCTGTTCAGTACTCCCAAGTTTTCCAATGGTTTTCTAACTGATATCAATCCGTGATCAACTCGTAACTAATAACTAACTAACTAACCCTTACAAACCAAACTATAGAAAATTAATCTGATGCTCGCTAGTGACTTGCTACAGGATGGAGTTTCCTGGAGTTCTAGTGAGAAGTCGTGACCAGTGAGGTCCGATTAGATATCACGGTTGTGGATGGATGTCCCACCTACGACAATGATTGGGGTCACGCTAAGTCACGAATTGGTAGAAGTTAGAATTCATGGGCTGGCTGGTCATTGAATCGGGGGTCCCAATGGCTGAATGGTATACAAGCCAGCTTAACTTGTAACCGGATGGTCCTAGGTTCGAATCCCAATGGGTGCGCACTGCTGATGATTCCCAAACTAGGATGAAACAGAAGCTGTCCAGTACTTCCTGGTTTTCAATGCTTCTCTAACTGATATCAATCTGTGGTCAACTCATAAAAAGCACAGAATACTCCTGTTCTGTGTTTTAATGGCACAGCTGTAGAATGCTGGATCCCCGGCCATCGATGCACTCTTTCACCTCACTATACACCAATAATAAGACCGGTAAAGACGGAAGGTTGGAGAGGGGGAGCGCATAAGGCTAGTGACTGAACTAGCTCATCTCATAAAATCAAATAATACACACCACTGCTACCGAAACTTGACATCTCTAGCTTGAAGCCCCCCCCCCCACTACCACCACCACCACCTACGTCCCACTGAGAACGTAAAGGAATTAAAAACAAACAATTGTAGAGAGCTAGAAGAGGAAATTATCGAATAGGATATTCTTTGCTCCAATTTTTTTTTCTAAATTTTATCTTCTAAATGTTTGAATGAATGAATGAATGAATATTTTCGCTAATATTGAACTGAATAAAGACATAGTTGGAGCATATCATATGACAGAGTTGATGACAAGAAAATATCTCACTCGAAGGGAACACAATAATAGGCAGAAAACAAGTTGAAAAACAGATACATATGTATATAGACATATAACACACACTCAGAAAACTATGGAAAAATTAAATAGCAACAATAGAAACGAGAAAAAACACACAACATCCTAAAATGTAAAGAGAGAGAGAGAGAGATAAAAAGCAGCGGCGAAGTTAAACTTTCGACATCACTAACTACCAATCAGCGAATAATCCAATGAGATTCACGAACGATGTCGAATTATCCAATGAGGTTCACGAACGCAGTTCAATGTTGTATAGCGCTTGATTCATTGCTAAAGCGTGACCTTACAAGGCTATTGTTGCAGTTCGAGGAGGTTAGCGTTTTCCAGTATTTCCTGGATTTGAGTTGCTCCGGAAAGAGCGAATTTGTTTGTGTGGTGGTATCATGACTTTAAAAAGCTATACCAAATCAACTGATGGGTTTGTTTATCGTTGTGCTATATGTTTGAAGCCTACTAACGCTAGAGAGAGTAAGCTGATAATTTTAATATTTCGTAGGAACTTTTTTTGCTAGGTCGCTTCTCTCCCTAAGGATAGTAGATAGAAAAGCAACTACTCTTATACTTATTATTACCAGACTTGTTAAGCGGGGGTCAATTATACACACCGACAAGTGGAAAGGCTACAATTCACTGTCATCTCTGGGATATATTCATCATAGAGTCAACCATTCAAGTGATTTTGTGGATCCCGTTACGAGGACACATACAAATTCTATTGAAGGATTTTGGGGCAGGTTGAAAAATAGGATAAGGGCTATAGATGGATCTAATTTATGGTCATTTGGATGAATATATGTACAGGATATGGTACAGCTTCTCCATTGACAGTCCCATGCTAAACTGGGAGATGTTTCTCTCACATGTTCGAGAAAGATATCCCATGTAACTTTTTTATTTTCTATTTTATGCTTTTTTCTACAAATATACATTTCCATTCATCATATATGCCTCTTTAATGTAACTGATCCATTCAAGGTCGTTTGCTGATTGGTTGTTGGTGGTGTCTAAAGTTTAACTTTGCCAAAGCAGCATATTGAAACAGAGTAAAAAATACGATAAACTCCAAAATTTTTTCAGCAAAAACTTCACCAAAAAAAAATCAAACAAATAGACACAAATATGTGTAGTAGTAATGTGAAGTATCAAACTATACAAACAAAGGAAGATGAATAACGATTATAACACACATACTTAAGAATAGTATAGTCATGGTATCTGTAAGGTAAGATGTAGGATTCAATATAAAGAGGGATAGATGTAAATACACATTTCAAATATACATTTCAAAAAGCATTTGCTTTACCTTACACTAGTGTGTACTACTTTCGACTGTGGATAGAGTGAGTGATCCCTGACGATATTAATTAAGGCAGTCTATGTTTTGTCTGTCTGTTTTTGGCATAGAACTTTGCACATATGTGTGACAGTTCAAGTCGTCACACTCACTCCATGTAGAGACAGTAAACAGAGGTGTGAGACTAAGGAATACTAATAATGAAGAACAATATAGTTCCATTGGAAATCATAAGTCGCAAGGAGTGGATGCATCTGCACCAGCAATTGAGAATGATTTTGAGCCATATCACCAATTGTCTCCAGACATTGGTTCTCACCATCCCGATGGCACCAACAAGCCAGTCAGGAAGTCTACACCTTCCTACGTGGCTGGCTTAGACTAACTGTTGTAGATTTCATTGACTGGTGAAGCCATGTTTTGGTTTGACCTCCGCTAGCTCTTTTCACGTCTGATCCTATATCAGCTAACATTGCCCGTTGTCGAGGAAGGCGATGACTGGGCATACGTAACACATGTCCTAACCATCTCAGTCGATGTAATTTCATAGCCTTGTCTATTGATTTCCCCTCCTCACAACCTAGCACTCGACTAACTCCTAACCTCAGTATTGCTTACCTTATTATACCACTTCACCCGGGAGATAGAGCGCAGGCACCTCTATGATCAAAGATAGCTAACCAGCCTTTTCACGTCTCCCACTTTCAATGGCCAGGTCTCATTGGGAGCCATAAAGGAGGACGGAGCGGACTGATGAGCAGTACACCCACCCTTTGGTCGCCAGCCAACCGGATATGACGTCTACTAAGCCGCAGATGGCGTAAGTTAGCTGATAAAAATGTCAAACGAGCCTTCTGTGTCCACACTGAGATTTCGTCAGCGATTAACCTACTGGTGATGGCTGATGCAACTCCCCAAATAAGTGAGAAGGTCAACACGCTTGACCAACCAATTCACACCCTCACCTATCTTTAAGCTAGAAGTGGTCGATGTAGTCCAGTCAGTCAAGTAACCTCATCGTCTAACATTTGACAAGGGGAGCGAATCGCACTCAAGGTGTTCAGAAAACTCTGCACTTTGTCAGTGTCTTTACCTCACCTAAGAGGACTATATCATCTGCATATTCTAAGTCGACGAGACTATACCCTGGTAACAAGCCAATCGCTGAGTCACTACTTATATATATATATATATATATATATATATATATATATATATATACATATGACCCATTGCATACAAAGTGGCTGTCGTGTCCTAAGCAGTCTAGTGGATAACGCTTTGGCTTTTGAAACTATAGGCACTGGGTTCGAACCTCAGTGGGGGGAACACCATCATAATTGACTCACTGAAGAATGCAGGTACATCCAGTTAGCTGACTAGTCCCAAATAGGACGAAATGTCCATCTTGACTGGATCCCAGTGCAAGTCACCATCCACCAATTACTGATGGTGCTACTACTTTGATTGTAGCTATCAGTAGAATCCAGTAGATGAGCGTTTCGTCCCACTTGGGACTCGTCATCTGCTGAGTGTCCGTACTCGAAGCCAACAAGTCAACCTAATCAGTCAAAGGAAATTTCAAAATACAAAATAAAATATCTTAACAGAGAAACATTGAAAAATTGGATTCAACTTACGGATAATTTGCCATAGTACACAACAATATGTACACAGGATGAAAGTCTGTTTGATGCATATTCGAAAAATTATTTTTTGTATAACGATTTTTAACATCAATATTAGACGTAGAACTAGTCGTACTATTTCTGTGTAAATCCGAACGTGAAAGATGTCGAGTGCGTACTTCCCCCCCTGTTGTTGGCGAGTTAACATCTTCTCTACCATTCTGATGACGATGAATTGATGTCTCTGAAGAGAGTAAATCTTGTGAACTAAGTTTTACTCCACCGCTAGATGAATCACCGATTAAAGATGCTGTAGATGAAGAAATTGGATCAGCTGAACCAGCACGACGTCTTCTTATTGGATAGGTTGATTTATCTTCATAACCATTGACAGTTGATGATGATGATGGTGTATGCTTTACTGACAGGTGTACACTAGAGAAAGGTTCCGGTGGAGGTATATTATACTTTGTTACCATTTCACTTGGATCAATTTGATAATTTTGTATCACGGGGGATTGATCCGACTTGGCAGCGACGAAAAGACACGGCACACGAGTACCACGATAGAAATTCTATGCGAAGAAAAATAATAATAATAATGAAGAGGTCATTTTTTAAGGAAAAAAACAAACATTAAAAGTACAAATCTGTTACGTAATTCAGTTTATCGATGAAAATTATTGAAAAAAACTATTATTATTATTATTATTATTATTACTAATATTCGAGTGATCTAAATTTTCATCAACAGCTATCTGACAATGCCATCCAGTATGTCAAAAGATCCACAACGAGACAAACTCAGTGCGGTAGCTTTGAAGTGAAGATACATAGTGTTACACAAGGCTGTCTGCCTATTATCACCCGCGATAATATTCTTGATTGTGGTCTGTCTGTCTATCTATTTTCCACATAGAACCTTGCACCGATTTGCACCAGTTCAAGTCCCCACACTCCCTCCCAGTGCCACACAAAGTAAGAGAAGAAAGTAGAAGAAATGCAAAATAGAGACAGTAAGCAGAGGTGTGAGACAAAGGAATAGTAATAACAAAGAACAATATAGTTTCATTGGAAATCATAAGTCACAAGGAGTGGAGGATGCATCTGCGCCAACCAGCCATTGAGAACAATTTTGAGCCATATCACAAATTGTTTCCAACTATTGGTTTTTACCGTCCCGAGGAAGTCTACACCTTCCTACGTGGCTTAAACTAACCAGTTGTGAATTTGATTGACTGATGAAGCCATGTTTTGGGTTGACAACCACTGACCCTATGTCAGCTAATATTGCCCGTCGAGGAAGGCGATGACTAGGCATACGTAACACATGTCCTAACCATCTCAGTTGATGAAACTTCACAGCCTCAACGATTGATTTCCCCTCCCTAACCCTATTACACCACACCAGCTAACACGGGAGATGGAACGCAGACACCTGTGAACAAAGACAGCTAGCCGACCTCTTCATGTCTTCCACTCTCAATGGCCAGGTTTGACAGGGAGGTATAAAGGAGGATGGAGCGGACTGCTGACGAGTACACACGTCCTTTAGTCGACAGCCAGCCGAATATCATGTATACCAAGCCAGAGATGAAGTAAGTTGGCCAGTAAATACCAAAACGAGTCTTCTGTATCCGTGCTGATATTTCATCAGCGATCAACCCGTTGACATTGGCTGATGCAACTTCCCGAATAAGTGAAGTAAGTGGTCAACACGCTCTAGCACTTCTCTCCTGCCTATTTCTAAGCTCGGAGTCAATGTAGTCCAGTCTAGTCCTGTAGCATCACCTTACATTTGGCGGGAGCGAATCGCGTGTCAAATATTCACAGATTGCTGCTCCTCAAGGTGTTTAGAAGACTCTGAATTTTGTCAGCGTCCTCGCCTAGAAGGACTATATCATCTGCATATTCTAAGTCAACGAGATTATTCCCTTGATTGCGGTGGTCTGGTAGTCTCATCTGACGTTGCACCGATAAGTAGAGTCTAGAAGATCCGGATTTCGCACGCGGGTGATTTATCTCTAATATCACATAAACTCGAAGACTTACAGACAGGCGAAAACCACTAAACTGGCTAAATAAGCTAGCAGATAGCGAAGACAGGACTCACTTCAGGTGAACGTAGAAAAGACAGAGGTGGTGAAGATAATCACCCACCCAACCAAAAACGACAACAACCACTGACCCCTGTTAGCGGAAGAAATTTGAAAGAGGTCACGTCCTTTTTAGACCAATCAGATTTCAGAAATATCTCCTACTTATCAATTATCAAAACACTTAGCTCTAATATTATGCCCCATGAGAAATCGTTCAAACTCTAGACTAACTAACTAATTCATATGAGATGAAAAATAAACTGAATGACATTCAACTAGAGAATGATGTAAAAATGGTTAATTTTGATATAACTAGTCTTTATACTAATATACCAATCAATATGGCAGCCTTAGAAGCAGTTAAAAGAGAACTGACTGCAGATCCTGAACTCATTCATAGGACAAAGCTGTCCATTGGAGAGGAAATTATTTTAGGAATTCAGTAATGCTGTCGCACATCTACTATCTTTAAATTCCAAAGTAAAATATATAGACAAACAGAAGGAGTAGTAATGGGATCATCAATATCTCCTGTCGTAGCAGATATATTTATGGACAGCTGGGAAAATATGGCACTTAATACGTTAAATGCTGCTCCAAAAATATGGTGGAGATATGTGGATGACACTTCCACTCACAGTGTTAAAAACAGAACACATCTCTAGCTTCTTGACACACATAAACTCACTAGTGGAGGGAGTAAAATTCACATTTGAAGCGGAAAATGAACAGGCTGGAATTAGCTATGTTAGATTGTAAGATAAAATGAATAGAAGGCAAACTACACACTAGTGTTTAAAGAAAACCAACTCATTCTAATAGATATTTAGACTTTAATTCATCTCATCCGTTACGTCTGTAAAGGCAAGCTTAGTGAAGTGTCTAACAAACCGAGCCATAGCACTAAGTAGCACAAGAAAAGACTTAAATGACGAAATAAAACAGATAGAAGAATAGCTGGTTGGTGTTGAATAACTATCCTATAAAATTCATTAGGAATATCAGTAAAGACCAAAAGCAAAATAAAAATAATGGTGAAGCTATTAATGATAACATAAATAAGAAAGAATATAAGTCATCCTACTGTTATACCGTATAAGGAGGTCACTTCCATCACTTATCTGGGAAGCATTGTTTCAACGATAGGTGGAAGATGAAGACGACAAAACCAGTCAGAATCGGAAAGCAAGAGGTACAACTTCATCATTCTGACTCAAATCAGTTTTGGAGCCTGTTGAACTCAGTATAAAGAGGAGAATATGGATTTTTAACACCTGTACGGTTCAGAAACTTCGCTCACGCATCACGAAAAGCATCTCTAAAAGTCAGCTGCAGACTTGTATCATCAACAGTTGTTGCCTTCATTGACCTGTTACTGAAGATCAGATGGCTAGGTCAGGGGGGATTAGTAGTAACAAGAAACTCTCAGAATTGATCAATCAAAAACCATTCGCCTAGAATAATATCCCGAAAGAAATGAAGATGGATTAGACAAATAAGTTTGAGAAGACCTCTGCTGAATAACATCGCAAGTAATCCAAACCACCGATCAAGTGGAACCCGAATGGGAATCGATGAGTTCGGCGTAATTTGGAGGATGACATGAGGGAGGCCACGTGAGGAGCAGAAGAGATCTTATGGGCAATTTTAGCGTCAGTTGCAGAAAACTGCAGAGAACAAGACAAAATGGAGACGTCCTGTTGAAGATCGAAGTTCCACTTGGAACCCAAGGGAATAGTAATACTACCACCAATAATAATAATAATACCTCCTAACTTCCATTTCAAGTTGAAAATTATTATTTCAATTTTGTTTCAATGCTCATTTTTACACACATTTGTTATCCGTTCTAATCCTGTGTAATTCTGTTTCTCTAAGCCTCTCGTAAGAAAAAACCATATCTAGTTGAAAATTATTATCACCCTTTATTCGCCGTCGTAATTATGTGAAATCAAACAAGAATTGTATCCATGTAAAAATTATGTATTTAAATGCGATTGTACAGCTGTTTTTGAAAATGAAATCACCGAAAAGGCAGATATCTTTGCTGAACTTTGTGTTCTCCTCTTTCTAATGTTACCATCTATGCATCTATGTGTATTTATCAATTCCACTGCACCTGCGGTGACAGTTATGTTGGGTGTACTACTAGACAGCTTAGCCAGCCAACGTGTTAGTGAACATCTCCCATCGTGGTGGTTTGGCAAAGGATAGACAAAAACAATCCGTAGCTCAATTCTGTCACATTTAATTGATAGTGGTCATATAGTCGAGAAAACGAAAGCCTTCAAAGTAATTCATCGTATCCCACCGAATCTTTCCAATAGACTTCGTATTCGTCTACTGCACACAGCTGAGGCGATAGACATTCGAACAACTATTAAACCTAAACTATGCATTCAAAAGAAGTTCGTACAGCCATTATCCCTTCCGTGGCCTAATAAGACATAACCAACGAAAGACTTCTACACCACCCATTGTTTATATTTTCAACCCCTTTCTTATCATCCCTTAATCTTATCACATCTTCATTATAAACGTGTTTCATTTACTTCCCTTACAATCTAACATTACTTAATCGGTTCATTTGCTTTTACTAGCCTTTATCGACTACTTCCACCTGAACAATTGTTTGTTTAATCATACTGTGTTTCATCAGTATTCGTGTTATCACAGATTGCCTCACTTTTTCATCCTAATTATTGATAAAACCATTATTATTGTTATCATTACTACTATTATGACTAATTGCACAATTTATATTCACCATCGTATTATCCATCCTATAGACAAAACACCATGATTTAAGGTTACGTGTGTGTGTGTGTGTGTATGAATTAATGTGCTCATAGCTGATTCTATACATACATAGCTATATAGATCACATGAGCAATCATTATTCAATTTTAAGAAGTTTAATCTAATTATAGCACAAATATACCACAGGCTGTGTGATGTCTGTATAATAAATCAAGCAAACGAAATGACTTCCAGTCACTAATCAATGAAAACTACTCATCATAATACGTGTAAGAAAGAATAAAAGCCTAAACCAGTGGAACAGATTTAGGGTGAGTAAGTGCACGTAGGACACGACCACGCGCATAATAACCATAACGATTTTTACGCTTCAATTGGTTATAAGTATGAAATGTGAATATTAAAAAAAAAAACATTTTTTATAATCTTTTCCAAACGTTTAACCAAGTTTAAGAATAGCAGTCATTTTTGGTTTGACACTAGTGTAACTAGTGTGATGTACCCGGTCCTCTATTTTCGGGTTTGTAATTTGGCCACCATTCTAGTTAGCTAGCCATCACAGTGCACATTGATTTGATGATATTAGATAGTTGGAGGCAGTCAGCCACAGGAAGCCTTGGCTCTACCTAGCTTTCCTGCTAGTTGGCACTCTCACCAGTCATCAAGGAGTATCTGCAACTGGCTTGAAGAAACTGATGTCCCTTCTGTGATTCGAACCCGCGTCACCCAGTGCTGCCAGCAGTCAGAGACGTTACCAGCGAGCTATTTGGGCTCGCGATTGACTTCATGTAGAACTGTAGTGGATAAAGCTCAGCGGTAACGTCTTTGACTGACTGCAGGTAGCAATAGGTGACTCGGGTTCGAATCTCAGAAGGAACATGAGTTCCTTCAAGGTTGGGGATACGCCTTGCTGACCAGTGAGTGCCAACTAGCACGAAACCTAGGTCCAAGGCTTCCTGCCAATTGCCTCCAACCATCTTTTTTCTTCTTTCACGTTCCCCAGTGGAACATAGGGCTTCAAGCTACTAGCTTGAAGTTTCTGTAGCAGTGTTCTTTGTATAGGATGGGTTTTCTAGCCTCATGCACAACCTTTCCACTTTGCCAGCATTATTTCTGGCTTATCGAGGTAAGGGAGTGCGTTGGCGGCCGGGGATCGAACCCCGGACCATGTGCATGGTCAGCGAGCATCCTAACAGCTATGCCACCGACGCACCTCCAACCAACTAATAGCAATTATTCCTCGAGGAACTTTCTGACTGGGCTGAGTGGTTTCAACGTAGAACACTGCACCGATGTGCAGCAGTTCAAGTCGCCACACTCCCTCCATGTACCACACAAGGCAAGAGAAGAAAGTAAGAAGAAATGTAAAACACAGACAGTAAACAAAGATATGAAGCAAAAAGAATAGTAATATCAAAGAACAATATATTTTTACTGGATATTATAAATCACAAGGAGTGGATGCATCTGTGCTAGCCATTCACAACGATTTTGAGCCAGACATATCATCAATTGTCTCCAGTCATTGGTGTTTACCATCCCAAGGACCCCGACCAGCCAGTCAGGAAATCTACACCTTCCTACGTGACTGGCTTAAACTAACTGTTGTGGATTTCATTGACTGGTTTATCCAAAACTGGCTCTTTTCTAACCTGGTCCTATGACAGCTAACATTTCCCGTCGAGGAAGATAGTCGATTGCTAGTTCGAGACTCTTCATCAATACGAACACAGGACCTTCGGGTTACAAGGCGAGCTAGCTTGTAGACCATCAAACCAATGGGACCCAATCGAATGGCCAGCCTATGAATTCGAACTTCTGTGAATTAACTATATAGTGCAACCAATAACTGATGTTATCCGTGGAGATTGTCTGCCGTAACACCCGACTTGCTGTAACCCCCAATAGAACCCAGATAACTACCTACCCGAATAGGGTCAGATTTCCCAACGATTCTCTAATCGATATCAGCTTAACCAATCAAATTCCTGCAAACCGAACACTAGATAAACAATATTGTGAAACAATAAATAATAATAACAAATACCAATGCTACCTAACCAATCAACACTTACAAGAAATATATTCGCCACATAACGAAATGATTCACAATCAGAGACATCATACACAAGGCAGGCAACATCTGCAGACAACGCTTCATTGGCTGACATTTGTTCACCAGCACTGGAACTGATTTCATGCATTAACAGGGTTCTTGATTGCCCGTAGACAGGTATACCGCAAGCAGCTACCCAATTCGATGTACGCCCAGCTATTCCACCGATACTGTTACCACCGGAACCATTCAAACTACGACCAATCAATCCTTGCATTAAACATGTCTAGAAAAAATAAACACACAAATTAACAAAATATTGAGAAGAGTTAAGATATCTCTGACATTTCCTTGCGTTTATTGAGAAAATCAAGAGGTATTTATAGATTTTTATGTACATTATTATTAGCGTTATTCTTAGCAGAGAAGCAACCTCTTCTGATTGGTTGTTTTATTTTTATTTATCTTTTATTTTTGGTTACAGCTTGACTCCACACCGTATTTTTGGTACAAGTGTGGAATTTTCAGCGTGGATATCGGTAGCCCAAAATTCGCAGGCCGACCATAGATACCAGGTGTGCGTCGGCGTTGGCTCCAACCCCGGACCATGTGCATGGTCGGCAAGAGTCCTAACCACTGTGCCACCGACGCACAGGTTATTCAGTACTGCTTGTGACCGCTTCTCAGAAAGTTAAGCCATGTATCTACGAATCGTATTTGCACACATTAAGTCTGACGTGATTGGTTGGTAATTTCCTCAAGGTTAGGCTTTGTTATTTCCTCTTTTGATGTGGTTTTGTTCTCTGAGCTGGATGCTTAGTTTGCGAAGCTTTCATCACCTTACTGGGTGACATCTTCAGCGCATACTTCAATTTGAAGTGAGCTTTTAGATTTCTCCACGGGTTTATTAATCATCTCTCCTGGTGATGATAATTAATAAACTCGTGGAGAAATCTAAAAGCTCACTTCAAATTGAAGTATGCGCTGAAGATGTCACCCAGTAAGGGGATGAAAGCTTCGCAAACTAACCATCCAGCTCAGAGAACAAAACCACATCAAAATCATCCACCTGAGCTACAAATCTTCTCTATAATATCTATTTCTTCTTTTCTAAAAGACACCGACTCAGGACGTGAAACATTAACGTAAATTGTTGGCTACAATTTTTGGCTTGCAGCTATCTCTCTCCACAAAGCTACTGTTTTTTTTTTGTGGGTTGGAGTTATTTAGCCTCATGGCTCAGCATTTCCTCTTTTCCTAACTCACTACTTCTCGAATGAAGCGATCAAAGATACATGTATGTTCCAAAACGGAAAACTCAGTGAGGCGTTCGAAGTGAATACAGAAGTAAAGCAAGGCCTATTATCACCCACGATGACATTCTTAATTGTGCTGAACTGGATTATGCGTCAGAGAGTGCATTGGAAGTGAGAAGAAAGGAATTCGCTGGAGTGACCAATAAGAAGACTGTAGAAGATCTAGTTTTCGCACGTAAGTGATTTATGTTCAATGCCACACAAACTCGAAAACTTACAGGCAGGCAGGCAGATGAAAACCAACAAATTGGCTGAACAGGGAAGGTAGACAGCCAGCTGTTTCGTTAGCCTAGTTTGTGACTCTTTAGCAGTACACACCCACTGCCAGGATTCGAACCTTGGACCTTCTGGTTACAAGGCTAGCGAACTCGTGTACCATTAAGCCACTGTCTGTCTGTTTTCGACATAGAACTTTGCACAAATGTGCGGAAGTTCAAGTCGCCACATTCCGTGTAGCACGCGAAGCAAGAGAAGAAAGTACAAGAAAAGCATAATAGAAACAGTGAGCAGAGGTGTGAGACAAAGGAGGAGTAATAACGAAGAACAAAACAGTTTCATTGGAGATCATAAGTCACAGGGAGTGGATGCATCTACGCCATTCATTGAGAACGATTTTGAGCCATGTCACCAATTGTTTCCAACCATAGATTTTTACCGTCCCGAGGACCCCAACCAGCCAGGAAGTCTACACCTTCCTACGTGACTGGCTTAGACCAACTGTTGTGGATTTCATTGACTGGTGAAGCCATGTTTTTGTTTGACTGCCGCTAGCTTTTTTCCAGCCTGACCCTATATCCGCTAACATCGCTCGTCGAGGGAGGCGATGGCTTGGCATACGTAACATATGTCCTAACCATCTCAGTCTTTGTAGCTTCACGACTTCGTCGATTGATTTCCCCTGTTTACCTAGAACTCTGCGCCTAACCTCCATGTTGCTCACCTTATTATGCCACTTTACACGGGAAATAGAGCGCAGGCACCTATGATCAAAGACAGCTAGCCAACCTTTTCATGTCTTCCACTCTCAGTGGCCAGGTCTCACAACCATGAAGGAGGACGGAGCGGACTGATGAGCAGTACACCTGCCCTTTGGTCGATAGTCGAACATCTCGTCTACGCCAGAGTCGGCGTAAACTAACAAATGCGAAACGAGCCCCTTGTATTCGTGCTGAGATTTCGTCAGAGATCAGCCCGTTGGCGTTGGCTGATGGTACTTCCCAATCAAGCCACTGGGACCCAATTCAATGGCCAACCCATGAATTCTAAATTCTGCCAATTCACGACATGGCGCGACCCCCTAGCGAAAGTCTTCGGTGAGTATTTGTCCTCACATTCGACCTGTAAAGTCAGTTAGTTATATGAAAAAGAAGAAGACATTCAGCTCTCTTAAGAAAACAATCTTTGTCTTCTCTACCATAAGCTTGACGGAGGAACTCAGGGAAACCATCCAACTCCTTCACTGTCACACCGGGTCCTTGCAACGTTTAATTCGCTTAAAAATCCCCCCCCCACACCCAGTGACTGACTCAATAAGGATTTTTAAGTCAGTTGCACTGCGTGTCAAGAAAAGCATTTACAAAAAGTTAGAGACTTTTACCAACAGCTACTGCCACCTTCACTGGCTGAATTATTATTATTATTATTGTTCCCTTCGGTTCCTAGTGGAACATACGGCTTAAACTCCACGTTTCCACTTGCCACTTCTGTCTTCCTTCTGCTGTACTTTTCACCTGCATCCATCCATGTTAGTCCATACATGCTGTCTCAACTACTCTTCACACGATCTCCTCAATGTCACTCTCGCACTGACGCGTCCCACTCGCCGCTTCCCTTTCGGGGTTCCACTCGTGGACCTTATGCGCGATGTCACCCAGCGGCCTCCACAGCCACGAGTGTCCAATCCATTTCCATGCACTTTCTCCTGCATATTTCTTGTTGTAGGGCGATTGGTTTGTTTGTTCCCAGTCAGAGTTTGTTGTTGGTGATTCTTTCCGGCCTGGCTATTTGATCTTCAGTATAGATCCAGCGAAGACAGTTAGTTAAAGGTTAGATAAAGGTCTGCAACAGGCTGTTGGAAATATTTTTTGTGACCCACCAGCCAACTTTCTGATTCGTATAGACGAACTGACTGACTTGTCGTTTGAAGTGAAGATCCGAATTTTGTTGTTGACGCTGAGTGACGAAGATTTCCAGATTGATTTCAGGTTGATGAATGTGTTTCTCGCTCGCCTTCCCGATTCTCGCTCGATTTGACATCGTCGTCCGTTCCGATTGCCTGTAGTTGAGACAATGCTCCCTCCCTAGATAAGTGAGTGAATGAAGTAACCTCTTTCAAATCCCTCCCGTTGATGGTGATTGGCGCTGGATGTTGCTGCTGTTGTTGGTCGGTTGGTTATTTTCATAACTTCCATCTTGTCTATGTTCAGCTGGAGGCCTGTCTTCGCCGGCTGCTTCTTCGACCAGTTTGTTGGTTTTCGCTTGTAAGTCTTCGATTTTGTGACAGTGACATCAAACATAAATCATCCACGCGCGAAATCCAAGTGTTCTAGGTTCTTCGCGTCGGTTCAGGATATTCCTGTCTTCTTGTTTCCCACTATCTGACGCATAATCCAGTCCAACACAATTAGGACTATCATTGGTGATAATAAGCCAGCACCCTTGTCTGACTCCTGTGTTTACTCCAAAGGCAAAAAAGAATTAGCAACACAAAACTCTGGTTGAGAAAAAACCAACACAAGCGAGAGTCGATCGCTTAACAAATATGCAGGAGAAAATAGAGATGGACAGGTGAACACATGTTGAGGAGACCCAGTCGTATCACATCACACACACACACAATGCAAGCCATCGCTTAAGTGGAATCCATATGGGAAGCAACCCAGTGGGTGGGTGGGTCATCGGTCCGAGGGTGAAATACAGGAAATGAGAAATTGAAGAGCAATAACCGTGGACCGAGCTGAAGAAGCTCTATGCTCCACTGAGAACCCAAGGGAATAATATCATATATTTTATATAATATCGATTTTCTTGTGAAAAATAACACAAAATTGTGATGAGAATTTTCTTTACAATTTTCAGGTTTCATTTTGTTGATGAGAAAAGACACACACACACACACGGAGAAAAAGAACTCAAAACAGAGAAGGACTCAGCTTAGCTTCACCTCATAATCATCACAAAAATAAAACCCTCTTCATCATCATCATCACATTCAAGTATCTTAAGAAACATATGTAAGTAAGCGTAATTTTATATTAATCTATAACTGGTAAGAAATATTTATATAATACTATACACAAAAAAGTTTTGAACACACTGTGTTAAATGCACAAAAAACATTGTCTTCTTCACGAGCTTCTACACTTATATGACCGAGATAATTAAAGGATTTCAATGCAGATTTTTTCAATCATCTCCAGTTCACTGATGGCTAATGAATGGATGTCGTGAAGCTCACGCTGAGATAATAGTGACACACCAGTAGGATCCATTGTGTGGTTAGGTGAAGTGGATATTTTTACTGCTTGAAGGTAGTGCAGTATCATGGAATTGAAAGTGGGTGACAGAGGTCAACCAGCTTTGCCTCGTAACCTGAAGGTCCTGGGTCCTGCGTGCAGCACTACTGACTTCCAGGCATCAGGCGTGTAGAGAGCCGTAGTCTTCCTTTATAAGCAATGTTAATCTGTTTAAGAATGTGAAGTCAGTGCTACTCACTATACGGATCAGAGACTTGTGGCGTCATAAAGAGCACCTTAAACAAACTACAGACCATCATCAACAGCTCTGTTTTCGCTCATTACTACTCAAGATCAGACCGACCGTCAGAAAAGATCATCAACAGCGATCTCTGGCAATTAACGAACCAACCAACCAACCAGGAACCGACTGTGCAACAAATAAGCAGGAAGAAATGGAGGTGGATTGGCTGGCCATACTCTGAGAAAACAAACTATCAAGTGACATCAGAAGACAGACCATCACATGACCTGCCTCATTCAAACGAAACTAACTTTGTCAAATATGCAGATGATTTGACTGTATCACTGCCTATCACTTCCGAGTCTGACAGCTCCAAACTTAATAGCTTTCTGTTGGACATCAGCAAGTGGTCTAAGTGAAATGGTCTTATGTTAAATCCTTCCAAATATCAGGTGCTTGACTTTACTTTCAAGCATCGACGTGACTTACATGAACTAGTTAGCTCGCATGATCCCTGTAGCATAGATGGCACGGAAATTGAAACCAAGTCAAGCAGCATTAAATATCTTGGATTAGTTCTTTCCTCTGACCTTTCACAGTCATCCCACATCTTATCTATCTCTAAGAAAATGTTTCGTCTTACCTTCTACATTAAAAAGTTAAGACAATCAGGTATCAACCAACCTTTAGTTTTGCAATTTTTAAACTCCTGTATTTTACCTATTGTACTCTATTGCTCTCCAGTAATCTTTCCTGGGCTTCTCAAAAAAGATTATATCATATTACGAAGAGTATTAAATGCTGTGAGTAGGGCTTGTGGTCTGCCATTGCATGAGCTCGCTAATCCTATAGTCGAGAGGCATATAAATTCCTGTACAAAATGGGCAAAAGCTGTACTATCAGACCCTCTGCACTCCCTTTATTCACAACTATCCCCTTGTATTTCATCAGGTAGGGCGAGAAGTCAATATAAAAAGTTATATACTTGCACCACTAAGTACAGAAATTCTACAATATCCTATTTAGCCCGTACTTTATATGATGAAGACTCTGTTAGACGTGAAACACATAAGTTACTATGTAATTAGTACGGTGAATCGACCCTTTCATTGTTCATCTTTCTGTATTATATGGTGTCACACTTTCTATCGTTTAATTATAACTTTGCTATTTTATTTTAGTTGTTATTACTATTATTACTACAATTTTGTACTTTGTGCATATTTTTCTCCTTATGGCATACGGTATTTTGCTATAAAGCTGCTATAACAATCGTTTTATCATTATTATTATGTAATGTGTATTTTTATTATACTTTTTTGTCATTTTTGAGTAAATTAGATGCAATATTGTACTGAATGCTGAAAATCCCTTGCTGTATCATTAGTACTGTTTTGGGAATAAAGCAAAAATTATTATTATTATTATTAACCATTGGAAAACCTGCAAGGAGTACTGGACAGCTGTTTCGTTCTAGTTTGGGACTAGTTGATGTCAACTCATGATGGAATCCTCGAATCAATCGAACAAATAAATCGCTACAAAACTAATACTTGAAAATTGATCTGATGCTAACTAGCGACTGGCCCTATTCAGGCAGTTAACCTGGGTATTCTAGTAGGAAGCCGTGACTAGTAGGGCACACCAAGTCGAAGGTGAGGACAGTTACTCATCGAAGAAGACATTGCGAAGTGGGCGTGCTATGTTATGCGTGAATTGACAGAAGTTAGAATTCATGAGCTGGCCATTGGATAGAGTCCCAGTGGGCGCGTACTGTGAAGACTCCCAAACTAGGACGAAACAGCTATCCAGTACTCCCAGCTGGTTTTCCGGTAGTTCCCTAAACGATGTCAGCTCATGGTGATATCTTTAATAATTAAAGGATTTCAATGTAAATTATGGTCACGAACTCATAGTTCAAATATCTAATACCTTCCGTTCATCGATGGCTATTCAATGGATGTAAATCCTAAAGCCGCACTGAAACGTTCTGACAAGTGAAATCAAAAGAAGTGAGAATGCAGGTGTGCATATATAGCTCGATAATAGAACACCATCTGGTGAATTTGATGAAAAGTCTTTGTAGAAGATCCGATCAAACCTCTGAAAGAGTTTGAGATCGAGACATCTAACTGGGCATAGGCTTAAGCACTAGTAATCTCTCATCTCCTACTCTCCAAACACACGATCTCCGCAATGTGACCCCTCCCCGCACTGACGACTCACTCATCGATTCCTATTGGGATCCTATTTGAGCGATGGCTTGGCGCATGACTACACCTAACGATCTCTTCAGTGCATCTGATCTATCTCCGTTTGTTGGGCAATAGATACTTTGGTTAGTTTATTCCCATAGTTTCTTGTTGTTAATTTTCTTTCTAGTCAGCCGGCCATTTGATCTTTAAAATACAGTTGGTGAAGGCAAGTGTTGATGAAAGTCTTGGAGTAGCCTGTTCAAGACAATTTTCTTGACACACTAACTAACAATTCAGGCTGGTCAGTGCTACTTACTAAATGGATTAGAGAATTGGCGCCGTGCCTCTTCACGAAGGGCACTTCGAACAAACTAAAAACCTTTATCAACAGCTAGCTGTCTTCGCTCAATACTTAGCTCAAAATCAGATGGCCGGCTAGAAAAGATCAGCAACAAGGAGGCATCTCCGGCAATGAACCAACCAACCAGGAACCAATTGTGCAACAAATAGGCAGGAAGAAATGGAGGTGGATTGGCTGGCCATACTCTGAGAAAGCAAACTATCAAGTGACATCAAAAGACAGACCATCACTAGAGTGGGAGCGGACTAAATGGGAAGCGGCGAGTTGGTCGTCAGTGCAAGGGTGGGATGACATGGAGGAGGTCATGTGAAGAGGAGATGAAAGCACGTGGGCAGACTTGGAGCCAGGTGAAAACTTAAGCAGAGAACCGTACGCAATGGAGACGTGCAGCTGAAGCCCTATGTTCCTCTAGGAACTAAAGGAAACAAGAATAATATAATACATTCTTTTTAGGCAACTATTTGATCTTTAATATGCAGTCAGGGAAGACAACTACTGATGAAAGCCTTCAGTACCCTTTTTTTTTGAAAAAAAAATGCTTTTCGTGACACGCCAACTAACAACTTAGGCTGGCCATAGAAATACTCACTTTAGATATTTCTTAACCAGGTTGAGAGTTACTTGGGGTTCTAGTGAGAAGTCGTGATCATTAGGGTGCAACAGGTCGGGTGTGAGGACAAATACTCGCCGAAGACTTTGGCTGGGGTCGCGCTATGTTGTGAATTGGCAGAAGTTGGAATTCATAGACTGGTCATTGGATCGGGTCCCAGTGGCTCAATGGTCTACGAGTTAATTCGCCTTGTAACCAGAAGGTCCAAGGTTCGAACCCTGGTGGTGGGTTCGTACTGCTGAAGTGTCCCAAACTAGGACGAGACAGCTGTCCAGTACTCCCAGGTTTTCTAATGGTTCTCTAACTAATGTCAACTCATGATGGGAACCTATTTTAAAAAAAACATCTTGAATACTAAGTAGCAGTTGTAAAGGAATGATATGGATGAACTTACTTTCCCAACATTACGAGCTCCATACACCCGACAATAAAATACTGTCCGTTGTGTCGATCGACGTATAGCATCTATCCGCTTATGATTTGTAATAATAATCGCTTTCAGCAAAGTTTCATTCCCGATGGTCATTAAACCACTTGAATTTGTACTTAAATCTGTACGATGTGATGCAAACGGTGGTTGACTACCGGGTATCCCTCCTCCACCGGATGTTTTATGTATAATAGATGACATATCTTGATGATTTCGTCGATTTGGTGTCAACGTGATACTATCGTAGACGCTTGCAGGATCTCCTCCACCATTCGACAATGTAGCCGAGGACGAAAGCGATAAAAATGAGCCAAGTTCATAATATGTGAAACCCAAATACGCGAAGTATTCAAGAAGACGATTAGGTTCTAGATAGGCTGTTAACCTGTTCATAATTGAAGAAAGAGAGGATACAGAAAGGCAATCATAAGCAACAGATCAGGGAAATAAACTCAAACTTATAGACTAGCTACTTCAAATTGTATCTACCAATTCAACTGCGCTTGTGCTGGAGCGAGTTATATTGGCCGTTGTTTTAGGAACTTGATTTTTCGTGCCAGCTCGAGAACATCTCCCAGTATGGTTAAGTAAAGGTGTAGTGAAAACCATTAACAGTTCGATATTGGACCATCTGGTACAAACCGACCGGCCGCAAAGCCAGTCAGCGTTGAAGAATCCTTCTCTATCATCTACCGGGTGTCTAATAAATTGCCAAAATCATCGAAGCATCGCATATACTTCAAACAGCAGAGGTTATTACAATTCGCCTCAAACAACCAGTGTTCTGTGTTCAGAAGAAGCAAGTCCAGCCACCACTACTACTGCCCTGGCTGGCCTTCAGTAGAGACTATAAATTCATGAATTTGTAATATTATCTTTCCTAATTGTTCTGACATTCAGCTTATTTTATATTGATGCTATTGAGCTGTAATCTATCAATACTATTGATTCAATGTTATTTAAACAACATTAATGTTTACAATTGGTGGATGGATGGTGGCTAGCAGTGGAATCCAGGATGCGCATTTCGTCCTATTTGGGACTCGTCAGCTGGATGTACCTGCATTTCTCAGTGAGTGATGACGTTCCCACCGAAGCTCGAACCCAGTGCCCATAGTTTCAAACGCCAAAGCGTTATCCACTAGACCACTTGGGCCACATCCAGATGACGAGTCTCAAATAGAACGAAATGCGCATCCTGGATTCCACTGCTAGCCACCATCCACCAATTGTATACTAATTAAATGCCCAGACATCGTCGAAGCATCTGCACAAGAAGCCGACATGTCAACCTGAGACCGAGCACTTCGATCCAAACAACCGACGGGAAAATCAAAAATTCAATTCAATAACATTAATGTTGTTTATAACACTAATTCATTCATTCACTATAATGTATGTATAAATGTAGAGCCTGATGACGAAGTTATCGAGAATAGTATTCTTTGTTCAGTATCCATTCTTTTCGATATATATATATATATATATATATATATATATACATATACATATATATATAATGTTCATTTGCAGTAAAAACGTCACAAGATGACATCATCAGTTTAAAAAGAGATAGATTACTAAACAATCAGGCGTTTCAACCCACTTTAGGACTCTTCAGTTGGCAGCATGTAACAAAGGTGATCCCAGAACTAATATATCGCCATCGATGAGCATCCACCTTATAGGTAACGATTCCTCATCAGAATGCCAAGAATTCCGCTCATAAGATTTAGATATGATAGAGAAGATTTGTAGCTCAGGTAGATGATTTTGATGTGGTTGTGTTCTCTGAGCTAGCTGGATAGTTAATTTGCGAAGCTTTCATCGCCCTACTAGGTGACATGTTCAGCGCATACTTTAATTTCTTGAAGTGAGCTTTTAGATTTCTCCATGAGTTTGTTAGTCATCTCTCCTGGTCGGTGAACTTGAACGTGATTGGATGTTTTCACACCTTCTAGGTTACTTGTATTGGAACTGATTGTTTTTTTGTGTGAGGTTTCTTTCTTGTCGGTTGATAAATTTTGTCTATCTCGATGTATCAATTCATTGATGATTCACTGGAATACCAAGCGGGCTTCTAAAAATTCTTGTTCCTTCCTCTGTTTAATATTTGAACGTTGTCATAGTCGAATTGATGTCTATGATTGTCTGACTGTCGTATCCACGAACGTAAGCTAGCCGTCAAAAGACATGATGACATCCACTCCCTCATATCACTCGCTGCATACAGACAACCACGGACATCAATTCGACTGCGACAACTAACGTTCAAATATTAGACAGAGGAAACAACAAGAATGCTAGAGAATATTTAGAAGGCTATCTGGTATTCCAGTAAATCATCAATCAATAGACACATCGAGATAGACAAAGTTTATCAACCGATAAGAAAGAAACCTCTCACACACACAAAGGGTCAAAGTTCAAGTCAAAGAAACAATCAGTTCCAATACCACAAGTAGCCTAGAAGGTGTGAAAACACACAAAAACAACCAACAATCACGTCCAAGGTCACCCATCAGGAGAGACGATTAATAAACTTGTGGAGAAATCTAAAAGCGTACTTCATCCAAATTGAAGTATCCGTTGAAGATTTCGCCTAGTAGGGCGATGACAGCTTCGCAAATAAGTCACCATCCAGCTAGCTAAGAGAATACAACCACATCAAAAGCGAAGAACTCCACCTCACAGTCAGTCAGCAATGAAGTATGGAATGATTGTCCATAGTGTTGGTCTGCAGGGATTCTAAACACAGACAGACTTGACTGGCTGACTGTCGGGTAGAACGCAGAGGGGAAAAGAATAGTAACACGGAGAAGCGTTAGGGTTTCATGGATGGATATGCATATATAGCAAATCACAAAGAAGACTGAATTCATTCAGCGAGAACAACTTTAAGCCATATCACCAATTGTCTCCAGTCTTCACTGGTTCTTACCATCCTGAAAACATCAGTCATCCACTCAGTCTACACCTCCCTATTTGTTTCACAAAATAACTGTCAAAAATTTCAGTGATTGGTTTGACCAACACCAAATAGCTCTTTTTTTCAACTTGATCGATCCTATGTCCGCTAACAGTGCCTGTTGTCCAAGAAAGCAGTCAATGTCTGAGCCATCGTCATTCAATGCGAGTGCTTCACAACCTCATCGATCGATTTCCCCTCTTTACCTAACACTTTACACTTAACCTCGCTCTATTATAGCACACCATCTACCTCATCCAATACCATGATCCAAACAAATTCACAAAATTTCATGCCGGATCGGCCGTGGCCCGGATTAACAACGACCGCGCTTCCTGCTGCCGTGTCACAGGGCGGGAGTGATAAGTATGCTACTGAGGCACACAAAACAACAAAGAACGAACAAAAACAGGCCGCGTGTGACCGGCCACAAGCAGTTGTCCCCTGGGCTCTGCGGTCACGCAACCAACTTCCACGGTGTGGGCAGCCGGGAAGTAACAATCGCCCTCACAATCCAAAACGCACACAAAACCTCTCTAATCTTCACTTATCTTTGTCTTCATCTTCATCTCTATTACCTTACCTTCCCCCCAGTGATGCAACTCCTCTACTTGATGGCTCCTCACTCCCTCTTCACTCTGTGTCCACTAAAAACGACGAAAGCCAAAAAACCACCACGGATATTCTCCTAAAGCCACGCCACCAATTTCATATAGGAGCATTTAATGTAAGGACACTTTGCCAAATAGGACAACAAGCATCACTAGCTAAGACCCTGGCATCTCGAGCCATTGATGTATGTTGTGTTTCAGAAACACGCATACAAGACCCAAGTGTGGTTATTCACCTAACCCCACCTGGCCAACAGGACGAATCTTCAAAATTCACCTTGAGGGTGTCAGGAGATGCCACAGCTAGTTCACGGGGATTAGCTGGCGTAGGGATAGCTCTGAGTACTAGGGCAGAAAAGACATTGCTTGACTGGATCCCAGTAGATAGCCGAATGTGTGCTGTCCGTCTGAACGGATCAGTAAGAAGGAAAAAGGACTGCACTACTCGCCGATGCCTTTTCGTAATCTCCGCCTACGCCCCCACTGACTGCAGTTCGGATGAAACGAAGGATGAGTTCTACCAAAAGCTGTCTAGTTTGGTGGGAAAGGCTAAACGCTCAGATATAGTCGTTCTAGCTGGTGACTTCAACGCTCAAGTAGGAAAATTGTGTCAATCTGAGAAGGATGTCGGTGGCACCTATGGAGTTCCGTGCCAGCGAACCGACAACGGTGACCGTCTCCTACAGTTCTGTTCAGATAATCATTTGTTTCTTGTAAGCACTAACTTTAAACACAAGGAGAGACACTGTTTAACCTGGCGACCCCCATCATCAAACCAACGCTGGACACAAATAGACCACATAGCAATAAGCTATCGTTGGCGTGGGTCGGTAGGAGATTGTCGCTCCTTCTGGAACACGTGTGTAGATACCGATCATGCACTGCTCCGGGCTCGTGTGTGCTTACGACTGAACGGACGTAGGAAACAGCTGGCGGTAAAACCATCACGTCCCCAGCTCGATCAGGAAACTAAATCCGTATTTCAGGAAGAACTAGCTAAACGCATATCTGAATCCGACAGCTGTGCTCACCCTGGAGAAGCCTGGAAGAATATTCAGTCAGCTATAGACACAGCTGTAAAAGCTGTGAATAAGACAAATCCAAAGGTGAGTAAAAACCACTGGATTTCGACTGCCTCATCCGAACTGATAGATGCTAGAAGACTTATTCCGGCGAGCTCCGAATTCAATGAGGAGCGAAAGCTGCACAAAAGGAAACTTACTAAAAGTCTCCGCAAAGACCGTGAACAGTGGTGGGTGACAAAGGCGAAAGAGATAGAAAAAGCATTGGCGATAGGCAACACTAGGCAACTCTTTAGACTCATCACAGAATCGGGCGGGAAAAGGCAATTCATAAGTGAGACTATTTCTGAGAAAAATGGCTCCTTAATTAGCTCTCAGGATAGGCGCCTTGAACGCTGGAAAGAACACTTTGAGGGACAATTTAACTTGCCTACAGCCACACTGAACCTCCCCGCCATCCACCACGTACCCGAATGGGATATAGACACTGGTCCGCCGTCTGTAGGTGAGGTTACAAAAGCTATCAGTAATTTGAAACGAGGCAAAGCGGCAGGACCCGACGGAATTATTCCGGAGGTGTTTAAATATGGGGGTGACATACTAGTTTGTAGATTAACTGAGGTACTAGGCAAAGTGTGGGAATCAGAGACAGTTCCTTCAGACTGGGGTAAGTCACTTATTATACCGATATTCAAGAAGGGAAACAAGTCCTCGTGTGATAATCATAGGGGGATCAGCCTAACGAACATAGTCTCTAAAATCCTAGGCTCAGTAATCATGCATA